TTTATTTCTCATTTAGGGGCTTTTAATTTTGAATTTTTAGGGGCGTTCTTGCATTATAACTTTTGTATCCCCAAATTAAATTTAACCAGTAAAAAACAACTGAGCTGATAGAGGCAGCATTACATATAATAAGGGAAATATAATTTGACAAGAGAGATTAGAATTGATTGTGGCATGTATATTCGGCATAATTTTATTCAACGACATTGTCTGGTACTTTTGAAATCAATTAAGAGGCCATAGATAAGACGCCGACAAGCCAACTATACTAGTCTGCAAATTTTATGTAAATGTATCTGAAATTACCCTACTAATGCTTTTGTTTGTATCTCGGTGTCCACGCCAAGATAGCTAATATAATATTTGTCTGCGTAAACTATTCAAAGCTATTTTATTTGGTAAAAATTTTAACACTTTGAACATTAAACGTTATCGCTTTTGTCCCGGCCAATATAAAGAACTCCACCTAAATGTTGCTCTTAACGTCTCAGTGGCGTGTTCAATTTATAATTATTCTCATTATAAAACTTATTTAATGAACAGCTAATGAGTCTGATAGAAATTGGATTAGATTATAATAAAATTTCAATTTATTTTATTATAGCACACTTATATGTAAGTATCTCCGTAATAATAATTAATTTATCTATAGAAATGTATTAATATGCTTCTCTAAATTACGATTATTTCTTGAAATTGATATCTGTATACATTATTGCATTGTTATAATTATATAGTAAATTAATACGTATCGACAGTAGATACCTTACATAGACCATAGACATGTATAAAAGCTATAATACATTTGATTTGTTTTGGCCTAATATATGCAATAAAATGTAAACAAACCGTACGTTTATTAACAATTTTATTTGACCACAGACTTAATATACCTAATTAAGGTTTGAGAACGTATCGGGATCTTCATAAATACACTTCTTCATACAATTCTGAATTATTCATAGAAGAAAAAAATCTATAAATCTTCATATAAAAAAGGTGTGTTCAAAAAATATTTATAATTTAATGACATACTATAATAAGTCTATAATAATAATATACGATCTCCCTTAATGAAAATAAAGTCCTCCTACTCTGGGTGCCCGCTTACCAAGGGATAGAAGACAATGAAAAAGCAAACGAACTAACTAGAAAAGGTACGAACACTCCACTAACTGGACCAGAACCGTTCTGCTTTCCAAGTGGAAACCTACTTAATGCGGACATCAAGAACATGGAAGATTCCATCCGTAACCTGGAATGGGAATCCTCCAACGGTCTAAGACACTCGAAAAAAATTCTCAGAGCTTACGACCAAGAAAAATCAAAGATTTTCTTCGATCTTTGAATTGTCACGTGGTTTCTAACAGGACACTGTCTCTTCAGCGAACACCTCAGTAGATTGAAGCTGAGAAACAACGGGGAGTGCAGATTCTGTGGGGAAAATGGGGAAACACCAGAACACGCCATCACTGAGTGCGCCGAGACAACAACCATTAATTTGTGCCATATACTTTGGTACGACTGATATCGGAGATGGACAATTAACCTTGGTAGTTATATCTTGGCCACAGAAGTCAGCTTGTGAGGATTGATACGTCTATGTCTTCTTGTAAGCCTATAGAATGTGGTGTCCCTCAGGGTTCAGTACTTGACCCTATTTTGTTTCTGGTGTTTATCAACGACATTGCAAATCTAGACATTAGCGACAACATCTGCCTCTTTGAGGACGATACTAGTTTCACTTGGGGCGGCCCAGATGTTATGGCACTATATAATACTATATCTAGTGACTTATGCACCATTAAATCTTGGTGCGACTCTAATCTCCTATGCCTCAACCTATCAAAAACTAAAGTTTTGTCATATAAAAGTACTATACAGCCTTTTGTACTTAATAACACCACTATTGACTTGACGTCGTGGACTCTGTGAAATTCTTAGGACTTGTTGTAGACAACAGGACTTGCACATCGAAGCTTTATCAAAGAAACTAAGCGCTGCCTGTTTTGCGTTAAGATCAGTTTCTAAGGAACTTAACTTATCAACCTCTTGAATAGCATCTTCGTTATGCCCTTCCATTCTGGGGTACTTGCTGCGCAACAAAATTTGATCGTATTTTCAGACTTCAAAAGAGAGCAGTTCGATATTTATTGGGACTGAACAGTAGAACTCATTGCCAGAATTTCTTTAAAAATTTCAAAATACTGACTCTTCTGTCTTTAATAATTTTTGAATCCGTTTGCTTAATCCGCAAGCACATATCTGCTATTCCCGAAAGGCCATCTCACAACTACCCACTTAGGAATGCGGAGCACGATCTTTATCTGCCAACCCCGAGCTCAGAACTAGTTAAAGGGTCAATACTGTACAATGCCAAAAAAATGTATAATCATTTGCCTTTGAATATTAAGTCGCTTTCATTCTTTCCCGCATTTCGCAAAGCTCTAAAATCATACTTACTGGAGAGATGCGGTAAACGACTTTTTTGTTGATGTTTAATCATGAACAATTTTGAATTTTAAAATTTTGATCATCTCACACACTGGTTAAAAGTCTAGATAGTATTTAATATTTTATAACTCTTAAATCCATTTTTTATCCATTTACAATTTTCCTAAAACTGTAAAATTTTATTGAAAAGCCTTTTTTTGTGTTCTGCAGTGTCCATGTATGTTCTATTTGTAATTTTAATTACGTATTTTTTTTTGAATTGTTAGATTTGTATTGTATGATATTTTTTATTATTTGTTTATTTTTTGTGCTTTTGTTTGTTTTGTAAATACTTTGTCGATGAAGCTATTTTGGCTTTTTGTACAATAAAGCGTTATTTATTATTATAAAACCGCCTCAGGTACTAGCTTTCGTCAAAACCCTGATACTGTATGATGAGTTATAACTCGTTATAACTCAAGAAAGAGAAACAGACAATAGATCTGTAAGGTCAAAGCAAGTCAAAGTGTCACCCCCCTCCTAAACATTCTACATTCTACATCTGTTTTGTATATCTTCGGTACTATGGTTTTGTATAGCAAAGTTTGTTTTCTTACATATATTATTTGTCTGAGGTTAATATTTTTGTAGACAATTTATAGAGCTCCAATTAATTCTTAAAATATTATTTTAATTATTATAATAATTTTTTTTTCTGCTTATGACGAAAGATGACTAAAACGAGCATGTCCCCTAAAACTTTAAGTGATTTTTGTTTTATTTGTTAAAAAATGAACTTGAAATGGCAGTGCGCCGCTACTGTGTAGGTAAATATAAAACTGTGGTCCATCTGAACTCAGCATCCATCGAATGCGAGTACCCGCCTACTTTTTACTTATATCTCGGTTTCATTACCAGCTATTTGTATGCCAGTGTCGTTTGGCGCTTATAAGGCTAGGGGCAGCCATCGTATGTCCACTCGCTTTTTTTTACCATCGGCTATTTCCGTTAAAGATATTTCAAATGGACTGACAATACGATTTATTGTATTTTAACTGATTATAATAAGTACAGGCCCTTTAATCTCTAAGCTATGGCTAAACACTTTTTCCTCCTGATTTATGATGGCTATTGTCACAACCTTTATCTAACGTATTGCGTAGTAAAGCCCCCTATTTATGAGCAATTCGGTTTTTCTCTTCCTAGCCTGTCAATAATTACCACAAAATATTTCTTAGTTCAAAGCTGGCTGACTGTTGAAAAACAAGGAGTATTTAGAAACCCAAAAGACAAGATAGGATAAAATATTTTATAAATTTATATACATACATAATAGGGAGCACCAAAAAAAAATTTTTATTTTAATTACCCTGAAAATACCATTCACCATGATGAAAAAAAGTTCTGGTAAAGTTTGAGCTCTTCATCTTCTACACATTCTTCTTCATCTTCTTTTACAAGTTCTTATATTTCTTTCTTGTTCTGTCTTGTTTATAATTTTATCGTTATAAATAATAAATATATATATGAGACAATTTTAGGATGCTGGATCTCTTTGAAGTGGATGGTATGAGTTCAACAGTAAACCATTAGCTGAAGATTAATTTTATCTTGGATTGATGGGTATATAAAAGTTAATACAATAAAAGAATCTCTCCCTTAATTTTTTTTAAATATGTATTTTAAAGACGCTGAATCTATCTAGATACAATCGAGGTTAATTAATTAAATAAAACCGAAGAAACTGTTGAATAAAGTTAAATTAGTAACGTTATAGTAACAGTATCTAACGATCTTAAAGAGAATTCCATCATGAAAATTTATTACGAATCGTTCAAGACTAAAATGGATGAATTGCGGAGTTTTTCTTGTGATCGTTTACTTTTACGTACGCTAGCAAATTCTTTTTATGTAATTAAACGTCTGTAAACCTTATTCCGACAAAAGAACAGAAAAAAACTAATGATAATCTTCTTTTGCCTAACGAAATTCTATCGGAACATAAAGCTGGAAGCATAAATTAACCAGTGACAAAAAATCATTTGGGAGATTATATTTCTAAAAACTTTGTGGTGTTTATTCTTCAACCTTGACCTTCAGGTTATTTATGTATAGGTATCTTTACTTTAAAATGTTTCCAAATAAGTCTTACGTAATATCTCCGAACATTAATTTTATTATAACTATAAATTATTGTCTTACATCTGCGCAAATAAATTGTTTTTGTCTCGAGAGATCGAACTCTCATTTGAATAATTTAACCATTTCTAATATTACATGTTTAAAAGAAACACAGCAATAGATTATAAGTTTTTAATTTATCTATTTATATTTTAATTAAAAAAAACAACATTTTATAATTTTATTCGTCCTGTCATTATTAAATTAATCTGTTTTAAAAATATTTTTTCTGTGCATAATTTTTAAATTAATACTACGCTAGCGACATCTATTAGAGAATGAGTGAACTGTTGGAATGTTTTCTATGTATAATAAGTTGCCTACCCATTTAAGACATTCATATTAATCTTTGGTTTTTGAAATTTTATGGATCTTTAAATCTGACGTCTGACGTTTATTTCTAACCTAAGATTTTCTGTTAATTTTTCTGAAAATTGATTAATAGAGAGAAACCACTTTGAAAAGATTTATATAAACAGACGCCATGGCAGGAGACTTGATTGTAGATTCAGAAATAAGAGTCTGGGTGTTTTTGCCGATAGTGATAATTACTTTCCTAGTAGGAATCGTGAGGCATTATGTCTCAATGCTCTTAGCTAGCCAAAAGAAAATCGAGACTCAACAACTTAAGGACAGGTAAATACCTATATGTAGCCCTACTTTTTTTCTCTATGCTAACTTTGTTTTACAACTATTTAGTCAGATGATATTACGATCCAGAATTCTTCGTGAAAATGCAAGATATATTCCTAAAAATGCATTTCTGATAAGAAGACAGGCATTTAATAAAGAAGAGGATGGATATTTAACTCAAAAGAGACCTGCAGTAACACAAAACATGATGACTGACCCCTCAATGATGACAGATATGGTTAAAGGCAATTTAACTAATGTTCTACCCATGATTATTATTGGTGGATGGATAAACTGGATGTTTTCAGGATTTATTACAAGTAGATAAATTTACCCTTTTTTATTTCTAAAACACCAAAGGTGTAATGCATTTTATATATCATTTTCAGCAAAGGTTCCATTCCCACTAACTCTACGATTTAAATCTATGCTTCAAAGAGGAATAGAATTGTCACATTTAGACGCTTCGTGGGTGTCATCAGCTTCATGGTACTTCTTGAATGTATTTGGTTTGAGGAGTATCTATACGTTAGTTTTAGGGGAAAATAATGGTAATAATTAGATTATTATACATGTTACTGTTTCTATATATGAAGAATTTTTTTAGCTGCTGATCAGTCAAGGCAGATGCAAGATCAAATGTCCGGTGCAGCTATGGCAATGCCACAAGACCCAAAGATTGCTTTCAAAGCTGAATGGGAAGCACTAGAAATAGTTGATCATCAATGGGCTTTAGCAGATGTAGATAATAAGCTTTTTGGTGAAGAAAAAGTAAAAACTGACTAGTCATGAGTATCTCACGCACTAATTTATTTGTTGAACTTTACTATTTAATATCAAATGCGTTTTTCTTTTTATTTATATTATTATTATACATACACTTTATACTTTTAGAAGTCATATGTATGTTTCTTAAATATGGCGAATGCGCTGGTTATTGCTAATTTATCCTTCCTAATTTATGAAGTATAAAAATCGCAAATTGTATATCCATTAAATTTTGTTAAGGTTTCTCATTAAAAATATTGATAGGAGTTCTCATTGTATTAATAACCTTTTGATGAAATTTCCTCACTGGTGTTATAAAGATGGTATTCATCCACTCAGAGAAATTAATTGTTTTTTATAACTAGCTGTAGGTATGAGTTTCAAGCAGAATTTTATAATAAAAAAGTGTCATAAACCGATAATGTGTGTTTTTTTGCTCGAAGCCGAGTCTGAGGTTGAAAAAAGCTGAAGAGACCTTTGTTACTGTTAAGAAAACGAGCAGTTGCATATATTCTAAAACTTAAAGAGGTTTTTGAGGTGTTTTACTATCTTTTTAAGGGTCTTATATTATTTTTGGCAACTAATAAGTCCAAGTAAAAAAAGAGTTTCGGTACAGACTCAGCATCTTTACTAAGTTATCACCTGTGGAGATTCTGTGAACATGCGCAAACGCCGTTGTCTGCAAGTTCGTTGCACACATCTACTTGTTTGTCTTTAAAAACTAACCAAACTAAGCGGATGTGTGTCGAGGTAACATTTGATTTCTTGCGAAAAAAATGCTGAAGATTTCGGTGACAAAAGTTGACTGGTGCGTTTGTTAGGATGTCTTCGCCCAAATCATGGTGCCCGATATATTTACAGACCAGTGTAGTATTTTAAACTTCGTGTCATCGTTGAATCTGCCGCCTGTCGTTGCTTCTTTGGAATTTGGTAGGCGTTATTTTGTTACCTCAATCTTCCTTTGCATGTTCAATTCATATCTACCTGTTTATTCACGACCTTTCATACCTCTGCTCTTTGATCTGGGAGAATAGGTATTTTTAATTCAGAATACTTTATTTTGTTTTTATAATGCAGAACTTATTTTTAGCGATGACAATGTTATTTAACTATTATTACAGATGCCCTCAAGCAACCAAGTCAGGTTTTTCAATGTATAATCTAGTTTAATTAATATAATTCAACCCTAAAAAAGTTGCAGGAAATATTTAAATTGCGCTAATTTGGCCTATAGAAACAGCCACCTGTTGCTCTTATTTTCCTTGCGTAAGATCTATTTTTTTTTTCGAAACCGTAAAAACATTAAATAATACAATCGTTAAGTAAATATTTATTTGCTAAATTGTTCACGCATTCCTTGTTTACATTAAAACCCACTAAATAATGTGAAGGTTTTTTAAAAAAAATGTTTTATATATATTTTTATATTATTGATAAATTTCTTGGATTTTTGAGTGAGAATTTAGATGGTTTAATTTTTAAATGTCTGAAGAACCTATTTATATACTTTTAATTTCCTGTAGTTTAGTTGTCCTTTGAACATCTTAATTTAGATCTGCAACAGTCTTAAGTTATAAGAAAAAAAGGACTTACAACTCATTAGATGATTAAAAATAGCCCTAGTTGAATGACACATAGCACAAAATGTGTGAAAAAGTCGACCTATTCTTGTAAAATCACCAGAGAAAAGCCTTATTTTACTGTCACTTCAAATTCGTGGAAGACCAACATTTTATATTTAGCACCATTCTTGATTTACTACTACGGTTCTTCAAATTAGTTTCTTTTAAAAAAATCGGAACGGATTTAACTTAAAGTTTAGACGGTTTTTAGAAAAGAACAACAAGAAGGAAAAGATGACTAAACGTATTAAAAAAAAATATTGGAAAATTATTAGGGCTTACAATTATTTTATTAATTTTTATTTTAAAGGGCAACAGTCGTACGTACACACACATGTCACAATAAATACTTTTTTATCTAATCAAGTATTTAAGCGACAGCATGTATAATACCAGCATAATGTAATCTATTTATTATGTTAAAATGGACATGCGTGATGTGTTCGATACTGAATTTAAGGCTAAAAATCGTTGAATTATACCTAAAACACCTATAGCCTTTTTTGCTGGTATTTATAAAGTTGACATTTTTCTTTGCAGCTAGGACAAGTGCTAATTGAAGCTTGATAATGTCATATCCCAGGTTCAAGCCAAATATTTCACCAGTGAGGAATGCGGAAAGCGGTAAGTCTATTGATTCCTTGCTTTAAGAAAAATTTAGAACAATAAAAAAATCGTAAACCTAGTATAATATGCTTGCGTTTTTCGCTAGGCAATTCTAGCTAGATCTTTGTTTTTGGTTCGACTGGAATAATTTCAATACAATGTACCCGCCTTAGTTTGACTTAGCATACAAAAAGAAACGATAATTTATAAATGAAACACTACTTTGCTTATGGCATTTGTATGCATGATCGTAAAGAGATATTTTGCCCGTACACTTTCTAACTGTAAGCCCACCCACACCATACCATGCTGATAAAGGCGTACTATCGATTTTTTTATTGAATTAAATCGCCCACCCATCTGCACATTTTTTTGGAACAGACGCAGTCAAAATCGTTTTGAATATTAATAATTTCTGGGATGCTGGGTATAGCAGGAAGATTATAAAGATACACAAAGCTGTTTCATAAAACGGGGATTTTACGCTTTAGTCTGTTGTGTAAATATAATAAAATTTTGCTTTCGTTTTGACCTTGGTAGTAAAATACATTTGCTTTATGCTTGAAATTTATTTATATTTGATTTTTTTTTATTTTTCTTCGTTTTTTTACGCTCAGATGCAAAAAATAAGTTTTCTATAATCTTTAGTATTTGGTTGATTGAAGGGTTGTTTTTTTATCCTATTTTTAAAACACCCTGTGTAATAATTTCGTGATCAAATTTTCCTAAAACATTTGTTTTCAGTCAGAACCGTGTCTTTTGAGCATTTTGTTTTTTTGATTCATGTCAACAGACGCCTTGGTTAATTTTTAAGAGCGAAAAGAACTTATTGTCAAGAACAATTTGCAATTTTTTCAATTATTATCATTATTTTTGGGGATATATTTCAATATGGGGGGGGGGGAGATTACGGAGTGACTATTGTCATAACGCTGTCATATTACACTGCGTTGGATACTCTGTACTAAATTAAAAAAACGCTAAAAAACTTAGTTCACAATAATCACCAAAGCCACTTATTGTTGGTGGCAACTTCATTAAGCTCTTAAAAAATAACCAAGGCATGTAATGACATGAACCAAAAAAACGAAATACTCAGGAGACATGGTTCTGACCGAAAAATAATGTTTTAGGAAAATTAGTTCACGAATTATTGCATAGGGTGTTTTAAAGTTAAGGTAAAAAAAACAACCCTTCGAATAACCCTGTGTAAAAAGCCTAAAACTAAAATTTATAAAAAAAATTAATTTACGAATTAAAGCAGATTATATACAGTTTCTTAAAAAATAAAAATAGGGGGGGGGGAATAAAAATATCACTTTAAATTTGACCGCAACGTTTTTTTGCATCTGAGTTTATATATAAATAAAAAAAATATTTCTAAACATACATTTTTAAGTTATTCTCATACGGTATCGTTCAAGAATTAGTATGATAATATCACTTCCCGTCAAAGAATATTCAAATTGAAACACGAACTGACTTTAAATCATTCCTTGTTGTAACTATATACTGACACATTTTCTGTATTAGAAATTGTAAAGTATTTTCTCGTTACTTGTTTATGAAATCCACGAAAAAAAATAACATGACCGCATTATCACAGCGCTTCAAATGGTTTGACCTCTGACATCTTTCAGATTATCATTCGTGGTACGACGAATGTACCTGCTGTCCCTATGGGTACCACATCGACCTGGACTTCGTACGCTATTGCGAATCCATCAGCAAGGAGGATAAAAATCGCACTGGGTCTATTAAAAGAAGAAAAGACCGTAGAAAGCAAAGACAGAGCATGGAAATGCTTCTAGGCTTGACACCACCCGTGTTGGCTGTATTAGATGAAGCATACAAGGTATAGAATAAAAAAATAGGCTAATCTTACTCCTAAAGATAGTACAATCATTGAATTTAGATTTTCATCTTTATAAAAGATTCCAGTACCTATAATTTTGCAAAGAACATCCTGCCTTATCTCAGGAATGATATTTAAATTTGTATAATAAAGCCACATACAGTTTTATCAGTACTGATATAAATTTAGATAATACAGAAACATACAGTCAACATTTTTTTACAACAAACAAAACAAACATTACTCAGGGTCTTGCTATAAATAGAGTTTGTACTCTTTCAGCCTGAATATCTGCAAAAATCACCGAAAATTATTCAAAAAACCAATCGACAAGAACTTCAGTTTCCGTTTACAGACGGCTTTGACGATGCAGTCTCTGATTTCGAACGAGCCTTGCAAAGATCCAAGAATAAGTTGTCCAACAATTTACCAGATGTTACTGCTGTTTCAGGTTTGTAATCATATTAAAATATTCCCAATTATTCCTTAAAATTCCGTATTATTTGTAATATTACTATTCTTTAATCTATTTAAACAGAACAGATGAAATAATATATTCTGTAATCTCGTTATACTATCATCGAAAAAAAAACAATGTCACAGTGACCTTAGAAATATGAAACAATGGCAATTTCTGTCGGGTCAATCCATATACAAAAAAAGGATGTCTTAAATAAGTGTAAATATTTTTAGGGGTAGGTAGTGTATTTCGACATCAGAAATACGTCTATGAGGTTTTTTTCACGAAAAAAAAAACATTTTGAAAATATGGAATTTTTTGAAAAAAAATTTGGATTTTTTTTAATCACAGCCCTGAAAATATTTGCACTTATTTAAGACTCACCCGGTATATTATTTATTAAAGCATTGGCATCAAAAATTTGCCAAAATTTCTACTGTAATCGTAGTATTCTTTAGTCTATTTGAACAGCACAGAAGAAATAATATATTCTGTAATCTCGTTGTAGTGTTATCGAAAAAAAAAACAATGTCACAGTGACCTTAGAATAAGAAACGATGGAAATTTCTGTCAGGTCAATCCATATATTATGTCATTTATTAAAGCATTGGCATCAAAAATTTGCCAAAATTACTAAAAGAAAATAAGTCATACATCCAAATAACTGAATTTTGATTAAAATTTTGTAATCAATCAGCGTTATAATAATTATTGCATTAATGACTTAAAATAACATTCTAGATATTAACCATTACGTGAAAAAAATTAAGAAAAAAAGAAAGTGCCTATTTCTGTGTTATGAAATTGTATTATGTCATAATTATCACCAAATATGGTGACACTATGAAAATATTCATTATTACTTTAATAGGTACAATTGCAAAATATCTATCAGTCTCATATAAGGATATAGTATGGCCTTAATTTATTTTTTAAATGATTCAACATTCAATATCTCTATGTACGTTAAGTATAACCTTAGTATAACGTATAGGCGAAAAAAATACCGTCATAGTAGGTTTTAAAATGACATTCATTGATAAATTCTCTCGGGCCGGTTCCTATATACAGGGTGAGTCTTAAATAAGTGCAAATATTTTTAGGGGTAGTCTATTCCGACCCCAGAAACACTATTATAATTTTTTTTTTGCGAAAAAAAAAACTTTCCAAATTTGAAATTTTTTGAAAAAAATTTTGGATTTTTTTTTTGTTTTTAGTTAAAAACATAATTTCTTGATAATATGTAGTAGATTTAATTTACAAGAAAGAAAATCCAGAAAAGATCCAGTGGTTCTCAAAATTTTAGCAAAAAATATTTTTTTGGTAATTTTCAAAGTAAAATAACTCGGTTATTTTGGATTTATTTGAAAAAAGGTAAAGAAAAAATATGTTTTTTATCGAAATCTATCGAGCCCTGAAAATATTTGCACTTATTTAAGACTCATCCTGTATATATGTTTTTAAAAATTGGCGTAAAAAGTTGTATAAAAATCATTATTATTTTTAATAAATTTTATACTTATAGAGATTGTTGGCTCAACAGAAATTATAATTTATTTTCATTTCAAAAGTCACTACGACACTGTTTTTTTTTTCGATTGTATGGTAGTCTTAAAATGATTGTAATTTATTTCATATTTAGATATCTCCGGATTTTAAAATAAAAATGATGAAAAAAGGAATTAATAAGATGTTCTTATCAGTTATCCTGTTAGATAAAAATTGTAACTTGAAATACTCTTGCAATCGTTGGAGTACTAAAATAAAAAAAAATATATTTTATTTGATTAATACAATTAAATAGTAAAATTAAACAAGAATTTTAACTAAGGGTCTGCAGAGGAAGTTCTGTTAACAGGGGAACAACTAAAGAGATGAACAAATTTAACACGAGCCTATTTACAGCTGTTTTTGTTTGGGAACCTCCGCGACAACGGCAATTAGAGCTAACAAGCGAACCGTGAACTTTCAAACTTTGCTGTTATGTTCAACAGACCTAAACACTGCGAAGGAGTGCGCAAGCCTCTCTGTAGTTTAGCTTATGCCACTTTCAGTTCAGCTTAGTCGACTTTACGTGGCTTGAAAAAAATTATTCAAACAACGAAAATAATCAACAGGTCGAATGGAGCAGCACAAAATCCAATTGTCTCGTGTTTTCCTAATGTTCGCCTGGCTTGTGTACGGTGCCGTCCGAAAATTCGTTCTCTTTATCGATAACATTATCTATATCAATTCGGTGCGGTGCGATGCCCGTCCTAACTTAATACAATTCGCGCAATCAGAGTGTTATCAAGATTTTTTAATATGTTTAGAGAATCTGCGAAGGGTGCCTTCAATCTCGTCATTGTCCACCACTTCTGGCTCTTTGACGGTTCTGCCAGATAACCAGGATGGACAGCTGAAGGGCGACTTCGACTCAGTCAGCATCGAATCTTGTGGACTGAGCCCTATGGCGTTGCAAAACATCAGAGAGGCCCTGGCACTCAGCCTCGAGCACACCAAGCAACTGGAGAGCCAAGTGAAACTAATACCCGACCTACAGGTAGTTTAACAATGGACTTTATAACAATTAGATTTGCTGTAGAATAGTCTGTTTTGTTTGAAATTGTTGTTATTTTTGCGAAAGCCCAACTACGTGAATATTTATAGATTTAATTCTACTTGTTATCAAACACAGATCTATTGTTTAATAACGTTTATCTAATTTTTACCACTCATTATCAAAAGAGTTATGTTACCTGATGATGTAAGTGCTAACCAATATTTTTTACACGTCTATTAAAAGCTTCTTATGAATTTATTCAATAGTTTTAGTTCTTTATTTAGGATATATAAAAATATAAAATATTCAGTTAAATTAGAATTCCCTTATCACTACACAATAAACAAAACATTATCTTGTACTTGTAACCAAACACGACTAAATATATTTTAATGCATTTATTCTTGAAACATCCACTTCAGAAATGACCGCACTTTTTTATTTGCTTAAACATTTTCTAATTTCCAAAGAGTTCATGGCTTTAATATGAATTCTTTATAAGCGCGTCATGTAAGAATATGACTACCATTTATGCAACGTTTTGTTTGTATTGTAATAATCTTACGTGTATGGGCAACTTTAAAATTTAGTATAGCCTTCTCGGATTTATTTTAACCTCTAGTATCCGCTTATTATTGATTTTAGACACTTCTCATTTTTAAGTTTATTAGGGGTTTTATCAGCGGAGGTAAAATGTTTTTTAATTTAAAATTTCAACTATTATAAAGTATAGGTTTAAAGCTTAACGGTATATTAAATAACAGTGTGTGAAGTGATACAAATAAGTGACAACAGTCGCGTGGAACTACCCGCATCAATTTGTATTCATATACTGAGGTACTGATTATTACAAAAAAGGCTAGTGTCAATAAATGGTTATTATTAATAGACTAAAGTTTACTTTTCAACCGGTTTTGAAGTAAGCATAATATGAAAAAATATTAGATATTTCGTGTTTTAGTCTTGAATTTTGGTACTTTATTACTTTTAGCGTGTTTTTGACAATATAGAAAATTGTTCATAGCATTTCCAAAAAATACAAAATTATATACTTTTAGTGAAGTACAGAGATATGTCAATTTTTTATAATTAATAAGATATGTGTCTTACAATGATTTTTCCCATTAGTGTACAGTGTAGCATTTTATTTGGCCACACTTTTAACATATTTAATTTTGTATTTTTTTAACTAGAACACTCATTAAAAATTTATAGTTTTAGATAAATTTTAATATGCTGTTAAATGTCACAGTTATACAGAGTGAGTCTTAAATAAGTGCAAATATTTTTAAAAGTACTATATTTCGACACCAGAAACACGATTATGACGTATTTTAATTGTATTTTTTTTTAGTTTTTAGTTAAAAACCATAATTTCTTGATAATATGGCAACATAGGTAATATATTAAATTTGCAAGAAAGAAAACCCAGAAAAGATCCAGTAGTTCTCAAAATTTACGCAAAAAAATATTTTTTTTTGGAAATTTAGTAAAAAAAGTAAAATAACTCGGTTATTTTGGACTTACATATTTGAAGGACGACAAAGAAAAATGTTTCTTTTATCGAGATCTACAATCCCTGAAAATATTTTCACTTATTTAAGACTCACCCTGTATATTAGAAGTTTCTTTATCAGTTAGAATATTTTTTTCGGATTTCAAAATTATGTGCCCATTTTTTTTCATAGTTAGGTACCTATATCAAAATTTCGTAAAAAAATCAATGCTAATATGTTTATTGCTCTTAAGTTAGATATGTAGATATGTTTTCTTTTCATACATTTCATCAAATACAAATTCATTTTAAATTATCTATATTTTGCTTCAGGATGAACTAGCGTATTTAAGACAAGAAAACAAACGCTTACATCACCAAATAAAATCGGAAGAAGCTTCTAAAAAGACCCTTTTAAATGGAAACTACGAACCTGCTGCACCAGTGCCTCCAAATCGAAGACGATCGCAGAGTTTCACCCACATAGAAAACTTTAATGACGAAACGAAGAAAGAACCTCCTCCTCCACCTCCCAGAAAGGATTTCGGTGTGATGTGCGGAGTTTTAACCAGAAATATCGGGGTTGGACATCAGAATCCCCACACAAAACACGCAGCTACACTGACCACCGAATTTGCGGACAAGTGGTATGTAGAAAAAGCAAAATTCCTGAACACATCACCCATAGTGAGCCCTAAAATCACGGCTAGTAGGAGCACGCAAACTGTTAACCTTAGGGATAAGAGGGACATGGGAATTCAGTCGTCCATACAGGCACCCAAGGCAGTGACCGAAGTGAAGTTTTGCCAGACAGATACCATCCAAAAACCAATAACTTCTAACGCAGCTATACAGGCTGTGACTCGAATGTCTGATTTCGCTGTTCAAAAGGACGTGGAATCTTATTCGATCGGGTGTTCAAAAGACACCATAACAGACGTTCTCTGTGAAAAATGCAGCATTGTAAAAATATCCGTAGGAGTAGGCCCTGAGAAAGACGAAGACTTGCACACATCGCCAGTATCATTATCCGCTTTAAATAATAGAAGTAAGTCGTTTAATTTAGGAGAGGAAAGACTAGATTTGCACAAAAGAACACGAACGGTAGCTTCCCAATACGACAACACCAATACAATATCGAGGGGTTGTCAGAGTGAGATTAAAACGTCATCTAAGTCTTCCCAGCACGAGGTGAAGAATGCAGAAAAGACTACGCAGTCAGAATACACTTCTGAAAGCAAGAAAACTGATACTGAGGACTTGAAAACACCTACAAAGTCCGTGGCTTGCGAAATCAGGGAATACAAACCAAAAACTTCGGAAAAAGGCAGCAATACGATAAGCGAAGAAAAGGAAGTGTCTGAGGAGAAAATTTGTGCGAAATGCGCCAGTAAAGAGATGGAATCTTCTAAGGAATTCAAAACGCCAGGTAGTCCGAATCCTAGTAGAATTCCTGTACCGACCACACCGATTGAAGCTCGGAAGTTTAGGAGGCAGGATACTTATACAAAATTGTATTCTTCATCCCCTACAGATAAATCTCCAATAGATCCTTCCAAGTAAGTGTTGTATTTATACATTCAATACAAACTAATAATTAAAATGCATCATTAACAAGTAAACAACATTGTGCATGCACACTAGTAATTTGATCTTCTCTTAAACAAAATGTTTTTGATATCTTCCTGATAGTTTTCGTCTAAGTGATATCCCCCCCCCCCAGTTATTGCTCATGTCAATAAGGTTTCTGGCTAATTAAAAAATCAAACATTCTTTCCCTCTTAATTCAATGGACTATCTATTAGATTTTCAAGGGATAAAAAATACATTATAAAATAAAATTTACCACATCGATATACACAACACTTCCTATCAATTGATATTTAGTACTGTCTTATTATACCATTAACATTTTTATGTTTCTACTTACTACTCTATTTAATTAGTATGAAACACGCCTTTGTAGTGGGACCTAAAAATATCTCTTGGTGCGTGTCTGTATTTACTATTTCTTCCCAATTCCCATTCTGGGTGTTAAAAGGTCCTAAAAGCCAGGATTTGAAAGCGCAAGCGCTGCTGCCAAATCGTTATTGATGAGGGGAGAAAATTAGTATTTGTATAACAATGCTTCTTTTGCCGTGAGCAGAATTATTCGCGCTTGAATTTTTTTCTTTGCTATGTCTTGAAAGACACGCTTCTTACGAATGTTAGCTCCGAAGCAAACTTTTAGCCAAAATGCCCACTGCTCATACATGCATCAACATATCCTTTTAACTAGGTAATTATTTCTGGTTCTTTATAAATTCTTTTTTGAATTACTAGGTTACCTTAAATGAAATCTTTTTCTCGTATTTTCGGTTTTTCATTTTAGTTTTTGCAAAAATGCGCATGTTCCAGAGTAGTAGTCCCAGTGCAAATTAAATTTTTTCTTGCCTGTTTGTACAATTTTATAACATTTTAATTTTTAAAAGCTGTAGTGAGTAATTTAATAAAGATTAGAGAAATAATAGAGATTTTTCATAATAAAATAAAATCTGATTAATGAATAATTTGTATATTTCGCTCTAAAGTATTTGCAACTCTTTCTAAAAATATTCTAAATCATTTTGACAGTCTTAATTTAATTCTATGTTTAAAAAGTTATATTTTTTGATTGATTTTATCACTACTATAGCATAAGAAAAATTGTTTTTCTGAAAGGAATTTAAAAAATAATATACTGATAATTGGACTAAAGAGAATTCTTTTGAGCAAACTAATAATTTAATAAAAAAAAATTAATCAAAGTAATTGAGTATATCAGTAAACGGTGATGTTCAGTGTTACTATTGTACTTATGATTTTTTGATAACTACAACCTGTGTTGTTATTGTACTCTATCGTTCTTGGAAAATATTATGTGTTGTATTTAAAATTGTATCTAAATATTATTATATTTTTTCTAGATTATCGGGCCTAGATTTATCGCCAAAATCAGTTTCCACAGAAGCAATAAGCAACTTTGAAAAAGTAAAAGAAAACCTCAAACTCGACATCCCAGCCAATGCTTCCACCTCAAAATCGCAAAACGGCTTGAGCACTTCGTTTTCTAAAGTTCAAATACAGGAAACAACACTGCCAGTATCGGAGTCGACAATATTCCAACCGTCGACAGACAATAGACTGAAGTAAGCCTTTTTTTTCTATCACCGAAAAAACATACTACTTCTTTTTACCGTAGGGCAACTCCTAGTAAAGAAATGCAGGGTGCAATGAAGGTCCTTAACGATTCCTTGCAAAAAAGCCCATCTAGAATAGGCAAGAACCAAAGTGCAATAAACATAGTGCAACAGGAATGGTTTAAGATATCCAGCTTAGTTACCGCAAACCCTCTAGATGTAGAAGACTATTTAGACGCATTTGAAGATATCTCTTTATTACTTCTTCAGTATATCGTGAACATGACTGATGTCAGTGGAAATACAGCTATGCACTATGCGGTCTCTCATGGAAACTTTGACGTCGTGTCCATTCTTCTGGATTCCAAAGTATGTGATATTAACAAACCGAACAAGGCTGGCTACACCAGCGTCATGTTAGTTTCTTTAACGGAAGTCAGAAGCCAGACACATGCCAACGTCATTAGAAGACTCTTTCATTTGGCAGACGTAAACATACGTGCTTCACAGGTAGTTCTTTTTAGTTTGTTTTTTATTGATAAGCAAACGCAAGCCCAAGACTGGCTTGGTCGTAGTCTTACACTGGGTTTTAGTCTTGCTTTTTATGCAAGACCAAGACCAGTCTCGTTTATCACTAGTTTGTTTCATTAGTTACTGGTCCCAGTCCATATTAACAATATTTAAAATAATTGAATTGTATTTTCTAGCATGGTCAAACTGCTCTGATGCTAGCAGTGAGTCATGGGCGTCTTGATATGGTGAAAATGTTACTTGAGGAAGGAGCAGACATCAATATTCAAGATGAAGATGGTAGTACAGCTTTAATGTGCGCCGCTGAACACGGCCACATCGAAATCGTCAAGCATTTCCTTAGTCAACCAGATTGTGATTCTAGTATTACTGATGTTGTAAGTTAACATAAAACACGAAATTAATAAGTATTTTGACTATTCGCATTGCAGGATGGCAGTACAGCGTTGAAAATAGCTATGGAAGCTGGACACAGGCACATAGGAGTTCTATTGTATGCTCACGAACGAAACTTTCAGAAACCTCATCCGAACAAATTGAAAAAAACGAAATCAAACAGCCCTAAAACTCCTTCATCTCCTCTTCCAATTAGAAGTAGTCATCGTGCTCTAACTGACACAAAAAAGTAATTTTTAGATCCAGACAAAAATAGTGATTTTGATTTATTCTTAAATTTGACACACACTATAGAATCTCTAATTACAAAGGGTATTATTTTGTACTTAAAACGTAGATTGAGTACAATATGTTTCAGCTAATCAGCACTACCCAAGTACACATACATGTACATAATCCTCAAAGATGACAGCGATTTTTACAGTTTAAAATGTGTTTATATCACAAATGTAGGTGTATTAACTAAACCACTTGTTTCTTATTTATACTAGTGTGTCATATATTTTGTTACTTAATTGTTAAAAAAATATAAAACTGTTTGTATTTTTAAATAACTGACTGAGAAAAATATTTTGCCTCGTTTTGCATAGCTACCCTGTACATATTTTTATACATCGACTTAAAGAATATTTTTTTCAATCAGTATATTATTTGTTATATAGTACAATAACTGTTAACTGTACAATTTAGTATACTAGCATTTTGAATTAAAAGATTTCCATGTTTTATATATTTTTAACCAACTAACACCTTAATTATATCTTATCCCAAAGTGTTTTTATTTCAATAAGTGGAAATCTAAAAATCTAATTCAATTTGAATTGAAAATAAACATTCCATTGTTTCTAATATGTATGTGTGTTGTAATATATTGTACAATTTATGCTAATAATACAGTGTTTGCAGAAATTCTTATAAATTTATTTCCTAAATTAAAATTTGTTTACAATTTTATACTAATATTAAAGCTTTCTCTGTTTTCTTGGTCTAGGCGGGTACCAAGAGACCCTAGTGTTGTCTGTAATAGACACAATATTTATACCTGCCATTTGTAGACCTTTTATAGCGGACATTCTTCCTGGGCCCATTCCTTGTACACGAACACGGGCCTAAAACAATTAAAAATAAAGAATTATTTAATGTTTTGTGTTAGAATTACATACAGTTTTAGTCCCTCGCTCTATAATCTTTGTACCAATTGTAATAGCTGTAGCCTGAGCCGCTACATTTGTTCCTTTTCTGGTGTTCTTGAAACCCTCTATTCCACACGACCTTATAATTTCAGGTAATCCCTTTGCATTCGTTAAGTTTATTATTGTATTATTAGGCGACACTCTTATATTAATAATTGGCAAGTCTTTGAAAAGAACTCCGTCAAAGCGTTTACTGTCGATTTGGGAGTTTGGAAACCTGTCTCCTCTACCCTGTATCAAGGAATCTACATCGATACTCTTTTCTCCTGCAGTTCCCTCATCGGCTACAGGGAGAGACTTTAGCATTTCCTTACGGTCTGTGACTTCGCGGAAATTCACTCCAGTGGTAAATACTGTCCGTCTATTTAAAGCAGTTTCGAAAATATCTAACAGTCCTTTTCGTAACATTGTAGTAAAATTTTACAGGTTATATCTAAAATGTGAGGTTATTTTAAATTATTTGTAAATAACATATTACTACATCTTTACCTTTCTCTACCAAGTATACATACAATGTATATTTTTATTAATTAATTGATGCTATATGTATAAATAAATAACTTCAAAAATTGCAAATTTTTTAACTTCAAAACAAACCATAGAAGAACTACAGATGACAAATGACACAAAAGCAAGGACGAAAGTGACATGTGTAGCCACAGACAATATAAAATTATCGGAGATTTAGGGTAAGGATGTATCTACATTTCAAACTATCGATATTTTAGTGAGAAGGTCGATACCCTACTTAAAGTTCAATTTTCTTTTGGCAGAAATTATATTTATAGCCTATATACTTCGATAAAGATCTCATAATCTTTTATAAGGCAGAATTGAATTATTTTGATTATTGCGCTATCAAAAAAACGCACGACAATGTAACCACTACTACTATGATATTTAGGTATATCTGAATATTACTCACCTCATAAATTTCTAAAAAAAAATAATAAATGGCAACTGGTACTAAATTCTTTGAATAATATCTATCCTTTTTCCATATTATCTTAAATGAAACCTCGACTTAAAGGTGTATTTTCGATTTCAGACAAAAGGGCATCTTATATTAAGCCCTTTCTAATAGTCCTTTCAAGACACTGCTTATTGCAAACATTTTCAAGTTCCTGAAAGGATGAGAGTCGTGTTTTGTATGGGTAATTTGAGCTACAATAGAAAAAAGTAAATTAATAATTAGAATGTAATTGTAACTACAATAAAAAAATATATTAGTTTAGTGATTTATTCAAAATGTAATTTAAAAAGTTTATCATATGGCTATATGCATAATATGTCCTAAAGTGATATTACGTAAAGCAGCCCAAAAGAATCCTAAATGGTCTATTGTATTTTGCTAATTGTTACAAACCTTATATAAATATTGTTGGGTCAAAAATAATTGGCGGTTCCTATTACTTCCACTGACAATTATGTCTATTCTAACTCATGTTTTTTTGACTTGACTAACTAAATTAACATCTCGTAATTTCTTCAATATTTTATTTAACACGGAGTTTTTTCCTAATCTCTTCTAAAATAAAGGCCCCATTTCTGGGGTACCACTTCCTATACATATAAAAGTAACGTAAAAAAATGTATTAGCAAATAACTATAATTGTTTTATGATTGATTCTAATAGGTATTCGTCGTGGCCTGAAAAATACAACAAATAATGAGAAATTAAACAGCCACATAAATATGTATGTGTATAAAAATACACATACTTACCTTTTTGTAACAATATGTAGAAAGTTGATATCCTGATCTCTTATTGGGGTCCCTGTAATATTATCTGATATTATTAGAAAGTGCCCCTCCCTAATAGCTAGAAGGTCAATGGTGGACAGTTGACATTGAACGCTAGATTCCTACGCATCCTAATTGTTAAACTCATGTATTATTTTATATTTAAATAATAAACATATATGATTAAACAATAGTAGTTTAAGTCATACTACAGTCCCCATCACTTCACTCCCAAAAAAAATTCAACAAATACTTAATACTATTCCTACCTTATATAATTTATACGGCTTTGATACGGCTCTGTCCTCTTCATGGAGTCTTGGGAGGAGATGACTGACTCTTTCAACTGCTTCGTGATGACTGATAAGGGGGACATTAGCCCCGTTAGAGATCAGCTTCTACACCTTCTTTGCTTCAGTGAGGACTCATAGGGGGAACGTTAGTCCCCTTAAAGTTCGTCTCACACCTAGGGATATCTGAAATAGGGTTTCCAATTCTCGGGATCGGGATCCCGTTTTGAAAATCCCGGGATTGAAAAATGAATGAGAAATTTAATCCAAATAAATACTTATTAATAAAAATGCAAATACATATATCAAAAAGAAAATGAGAAAAGAGCTTTATTAAAATAGAGAAAACAAAGTAACATTCATATTTAGTGATTAAAAACAAAATAAATTTTTGTTGAAAAAAAAACACTAAATATAGCAAATTAACAAAGGAATATGACTTAGAATTCTGCTTAGTATAAATAAAATTTGACCTTTTAAAGACTAAAGTGTCGTCATCAGTCGAATCATTTTTTCAGGATCCCGAGATTTCGGGATCCCGGTTTAGAAACCCTAATCTGAAACATATAATTAACAAAAACAACCATAACGGACTGAGAGCAAAAAAAACTGTTTAATTTTCCAAATAATTCCGACTTGAAAAACGCACATCCCCCCAAGAGGGTCCATATTCACTAACACTTGCGAAGACGGGCTATATCAAAACTATGCCTAGCACTAACCTGAAACAATAGAGAAAAAACATTAGTTCGATATAAAAAATAGAACAATCGTATAACATACCTGATTCAATCTCGTTCCGAGCCTCGATCCTGATACAATCCTTGTGGTTCCGCAAGATCTTCATTCTAGAGTTGGCATCAGTTGTAGTACCTCTACAAGAACTGCTTTAAGAACATACGACCTTTCAAGCAACAGTAAAGAACAGGAAATGAGACTTCAATAGCTATAATATTTTAGAAAAACATTTAATATGAAATTACTGATATTTTCTAGCTGCTTACTAAGCCAGCATTTTTTTTATTATCGGGATACGAGTGAAAGAAAAATGAACTCTCTTTTAGTTCGTTCGACGTTTTGAAAAGTTATTAGCATCATCAGGACAATTTAAATACTGAGTTTCTCTTTCATTGAAATAAATATACAGATATTAATGAGGGTAGAACCGGATTTTGCTCTTCTGTTGAGTTTTTTTCAGTGTTAACCCATTACACTTGGATGTTACGAAGCTTTCCAACACTTGGATAAATATTTAATATATTTAATTTTATATATGACAGCATCCAAGTGTACTTGGATAAAGTACTTTGTCCAAGTACTTACTTGTTTTATTACAGCATCCATGTAGGTATACATACCCCGCTGGCAAGCAAACCCTTAGGTCGGCGTTTACATGTATAGGAGTGAGTCGTTATGGCAATCTAGTAAGTCGAAGTGAGCAAAAATACGAAGTATTTATTACATAACTACTTAATCTGACGCTATATTCTATGCGCTTGGGAAAATACTCGCCTTCTGTCTTTATTCAGTACGTCTTATTTTACTAAGCGTGTTGAGCGTACTCTTCGTACACATGAAAACCGGCACCCAAGACCAGAAATGCCAACCCTTAGTATATGGCAGCATCCAAGTGTATTTGGATAAAGTACTTTGTCCAAGTACTTACTTGTTTTATTACTTTTTTTTAAATGCTGCACAATATATTTTATTTATATTTTTCTCAGCACCAATTAAAATAAATTTATTAATAATCGAACCTGTGATCAAATAGGAAGTCAAATATACAATAATATACAGGATGTCAAAAAATTACTCACGCATACTCGCACTTTTTTATATATCCTCTAAAAGTGAACATATTTTGAACAACATTATATTGTGAAAATATGTTCACTTTTCGATTTTTGGGGAGGAAAAATTAATGAAAAAAAAAGAATTAGTATTATATATACAGGGTGGTCCGAACTGTATTCCGGAAACTTCGGCACCATATTCTGCAGATAAAAATAAGTTCGTATAAATGTATGTCCTAAAATGCTTAGTTTCGGAGATACAGGGTGTAGAAGTTTCATTTTTATTTCGATTTTTTCCAAATAATTTCTGAAGCAAAGTCAATATTTGAATGAATTCTAATTCTTCACCTTACCTAAAACATTATCATAAGCCATGCATGCATCTAATATCACAATTTTATTATTGGTATAAACATTTTTTCATGACACCCTGTATAATAGGTATAATCGAAAAAAAGGCGTCCAGATGCCTTGGAAATGTTGATCGCTGACATTCTCCATATAATTTTATATATAAAATGACAGCGATATTGTTTTTTTCGATTACATTATAGAAATGTACTTTTTTAAATAGTTTTATTTCAATTTCATAAAAAATGTCTAAAAATGACACGTACGGACTTAGTCGACGGAAAGTTAAATAAATTCTAATAACATAAAAACAGTATCAAGTTGGGAAAATTATGATGTAATTTTATATGTATTGTAAATTATATTGGGATGTCAACGGTCATATCAAAGCCAACTGGGCCCAATTATTTTTTGGATAATACAGTCTAATGACATAAGAAGTGTTTTCTGTCATCGTCCAAAGCACGCTAGATAACATTTTCATCATATTGTACTTCCTAGAGTGTCAAAGAATTTCACTTCAGGTACTTTATTCCCTGTGTACACCATTTTTCTCATGCGAACTTATCGCTCACATACATACATCATAGAACAAAGAAACTCATACGCGCAAAGTTCAAAATTAAAAAGGGACGAAGTTAAAAAATGAATTCAACGAATACGAATCTAGTACCTAGTGCCCTTATACTATATGTATAAAAATACTTAAACATTGTTATATCAGTTAAAAAGATTGAAATTAAATATAATATATATATATAACATAACTACATATTAGTTTCATAAAAAGTCCTTAAGCTTATAAGCCATCTGGTGGTCCTTTGTTTTTTGTTTTTGCAACAGGTGACAGGTGAATTTAACCAAGAAATGTAAAGTAAATAAAATTGCGAAATTTACCATTCCTGGGCTTCTGCGGTGCACTCACTATAACCGATTAAGAAGAAATAATTGTATAAAGGCAGATATCTTTTTACTCTGAAAGAGTTCCGGAACGAACCCCAAGGCCGCCCATGTTTGGTGAATCGTCCAGAACTAGATATCGATCAAAGCCAAAAAGTCAATATCATAGGATTTTTAGGGGTCGAAGATACACGAACGGAAGCAAATCCTACCTTTTGTGGTTACACATATTTTAAACCACTTTTAAATAAAGCTACTTCAGGAAATAACACTGAACATCTTTATTGAATCATACGTAGGGACATTACAAAATATTAAAAAAAACTTATTTTTTAACATTTGGGGGTAATTATAACAATATGCGCTTGCGCTGCGCTTTTGCCCTAAGTTCTAACTTCTAACTACTTTTAAATTAAAATATTTTATGAAAAACTGTATATTTTTATTGAATTATTTTTGCATAAATGTAAAAAAAATACTTTTCATTTATTCTTTTTTTTTAGAGTATTTTAGAAATGCATTTTGCCAATATACATTTACATAGCAAGGAGATTAATCAACATGCAAAACGCGCTTGCGTTGTACATGTTGAAAGAGGAAGTCTTGTATGAATATCCAGGAGGAAAATTTGAATTTTTACAAATCTTAATTTTCTCATAGCTAAAAATATAGCTAAAGATAGCTTTTTGGTTCGATTTTGAACTCTCATATCGGTCCTTTTTAAACAACATAAAAAATTAAGTTATCTGTGCAAAATACAGTAAAATAAAAAGAAGAAGAAATCGTATGATTTAATGATAGTTTTGATATAACCTGTAACTTGAATTGACAAAAAAATATATATGTATATATTTTTAATTAATTACTGATCTGATAATTAAAAATCTATTGAAAATGTGGAAGAAAGTGACTCTATGCACAAGACGGTAACAAGACATTATTTTTTTTGTCTAATATAGTTTTTAAATGTGTATGCTTCAAAAACATAAGAATTTGTGTATGGATATGGAACCTTGGGTAACTATTTTGTTATGTTCAGAAAGTTTATAAAAAAATCTTAAATTGTAGGTAGGTATATTCGACAGACATGGAATTAATAGTGTGGAGTTAATGCCCTTAGTTATTAATAAAAATAGTTCTACAAAGCTTTAGAAGGGAATTTTTGATTTTATAACCGAAAAACTTAATGAAAAGCTCAAAGGAGACCAAAGTTTATGTAGGTATAAGAAAAATTACTATATTTTTCTATATAAGTAAATTTTAAAGCATCAATTTTTTAACTATTCTAGGGATAATGTGGTCAAGAGAGCTTTGACTTTACTGGCTAAACAAATTCTAATGTAATTTACCATAAAAATTGTTTATCTGTTATCAAAATACAAAGCATTCTTGATCATGAATTAAGTTTAAGAAAAAGTAGAATACCTACTATGTTGTTGTAGTACAACATTTTTTCCTCAATAAAAAATAAATGAATTAAAAGACTAAAAACTATACGTAAAATAATATCAATTATTTATAGAGTATATGATTAGAAAGTTTTATGATCAAAAGTGCTTTCAGTTCAGTTAGTTAAAGCAAATGTAAAATAGCGTTCTATAAGAATTGTTGATCTGTCATCGTACAAAGCATTCTTGATCATAAATTCGGCTTAAAAAATAGAATACTAAAAATTTAGAAGGTTGTTGTAATAAAGCATCTATTTCTCAATATAAAAATAAAATGAAATATCACTAAAAATCGTATATTTATCTATTATATAATACAGTATATGATAAGAAAGTTTTATGATCAAGCGTGCTTTCAGTTTAGTTGGTTAAAGCAATTGTAATATACATAGCTTCCCATAAGAATTTTGTTGATATCTGTCATCGTACAAAGCAGGCTTGACCACATTGCATATGCAATCAAGTTCACTTACATTTTCTACTAAGGGGTAAAACATATATTTTTGGTGACAGTTTAACTATATACCGAACACTACTAACGTCTTGATATACATAATTTACTAGGATGAACTGACTGGGCTCCCCCAAATGAATATCCCAAAAGACAAACATTTGGTGTAAGCCCAGCTCAAGGTTTACATTCTAGGGAGTTCTGTAAATGTGTAAGCTTAGAGTAACTAATAATCTACCCGTTTCAATTAAATTTAGAATACTTCACTGCTTTTTAACTAAAAACTTTGCAAAACTATTTAGCTTTGAAACGCGTTGATTTGAAAAGGACGCGGACGCCACAATATGGCGGCCCTAGCGGAAAACAAATGAAGATCTATCTCACAAAAGCGACATCTATAGATTTCTTTTAGATAAAAAAATAATTAATTCTAAATTACTTTTAAAATATATTTTTTATGATAAGATTATACCCATTTTTGTTGATGCTTTTAATATCCTGTTAATATATATATAATTTGTATAAATATAGTGATTTTTTCATTTTGTAAATGTTGGTTATGATATATGTATTACTGGTTGCATACTGATTCCCTAACATGCTCCTCTTATATTTTAGAAACATATGCTTTATGTAAACAAGTAGGCTATTATTTTTAATTAAAATATATCTCTTTTTCAACAATTTTGAACGTTCTTTTAAAATTTGATTGAAATGAGTTTAAGCAATATACCCAAATCCACAATAAACTTAGTCACTGGGTTACCTGAAGCATACAACAGTAAAGTGATAAAGCGTAAGATGTCGAAATATATTTTAAATATATATAAATCTTATTATTTTTGTTAATTTTAGTAGCTTTAGCAGCCTTACAGCCAGATACTCCAGACTTATCAAGATCTCTAAGTAAATTAGAAGCTGATGGTCATTTATCATGCGAACAACTTCTTGAAGTATTAAGTTTGTATATTCATTTATTAAAAGAGTTTTGCAACAATAAGGAGAAGGACTTTGTGGACACATTATTAGAGGAAGGTTTCCCAAACAACTTTGTTTCGAATTTACCATTTTTAAATAATCAGACAGAAATAATAAGGAAATATTTTTCTGCCAGCTATAACACATTTGAGAATGTTTCGAGTATTAAGTGGAGAATTGATATCAGTCTACTAAACAAGTCAGTATAAATATATATGCTGTTTCTTATGACTTTACCTAAAAAATAAATTTTAGCTCTATAGGATGCAGTTCAGCTCCAAATATAACGTTGTGTATAAAACTAACAAATGGAAAGCTATATATACTTCATTTAAATAAAAAGGAATTCCATAGCCTGAGATTTAACATTGCACTTATCTTGAAAGAAATCAAATCAAGGAATTTAATAAATAAATTATTAAAATAAGTTTGCATTTTTTGATAAACCCCCTTAACGGAACAGTGTATTACTTTGAGAGATTATCTCCGATTATTTTTTATAATACCAGAAACAATCAAACTGTTTTAAAATTGAACAAATTAAAGTAAAACGCATATAGTTTGTATTTATTTAAAATTTATTATACAGGGTTATTCGCCTCATTTGACAGAGAGTATTGTAGCCAGCAAATTATTGGATTTTTAGAAATTATGAGTGATGGGATCATTGGAGGACTACTAAAGTTACAATTTAAAATTATTTTCAAAAGGCACAGAGTATCCCAAATAAAAAAAATATCAAAATTTAATTTTTTTAAATGGAACACCCTGTATATTATTACATTTTTAGTTTCTACCATTAAAATATAGGTAAATTTGATTAAGGATTACTGCACTTTAATCTTACCGTTTTTGAAATATTTACGATTTTGTGAAAATGCGGTAACAATTTTAATGCTTCATTTATCTGCTTATTTAAGCTTTTAAAACCAAATATTGTCAGAAGTTTTTCTGTTTACTAAATTTTGTGTTGCAATAAAAATAATACTACCTTATACAGAGTGTCTAAAAATTTATATTAAATAATTACTAGCTGTAAACAGCAATATCTTGTTTAATTCTCTATCAAATTGTATTATAGCATTTTTTACCTATGTATATCTTAAAGTTTTCATAGAAAAAACATATTTATCAACATACCCATGAAATATTGACATTTTAGATTATTTTTAAGATGTAACAAATTTTTACAGATATTAATATTGTTGATATAGTTCGCGTATTTTATTACTATTCATATACAAGAAGTTCGCGTATTTCATATTATTCATATACAAGGAGTTGTTTTAATTGTTGTTTTAGATGTGTTTACACATCTAAAAAGAAATTATCGCTATTCAAATAACGTACAACACTGATTTATAATTAGCTATATTTAATACATTAACAAATATCACGTTCCTAACATAACTTGAAACAATTAAATAAAATATATTAAATTTTTAACACTTCTGTTACTGATTTGAAGGAACATACCACAGCAATATAGTTAGGACCCATATATGTACAATAACCTAAAAGATAAAGAAGATATTATTATCTATTTACTAAGATAACTCTTTAATAGTTACAATATAAAGGAAAACAAACACCCGAGCTACAGGGTATCTCCTAAGAAATATTCCTGTTCGAACACTCAAGGCATCTAAGGTTGAATAGGCATGCTTCACTCTTCTGGTTACTGCAGCATCATGTGGTGTCACCCTCAGGAAATTTGACATGTAGCTTTTTTCTGGAATAAAAATATTAAATTTTTACTTTAGTAATAAGCTTAGTAATGCAAATCATAATACTCTTGTTAACCAAGTTTAGAATTCTCGTTATCTTCATAAAATTACATTTCTTTCAAGTTTTAAAATTTTCTTACCCTCATTAAACTCTTGGATGTTTATTACATTCACTTTATCATTCTTTAGCTGTGTAATTTTTCTCTCATGTTCTATCTTGAAAAGAAAACTGTATTCTAAAACAATATAATTCAAATTTGAAAATATGACACCTGTAATTTTTCCAACTGTACTCTTAAAGCATTTCTTTCTGTAGTAATTGTTTCTAAAGCATTCTGTTTTGAAATAATAGTTTGCGTTAAAGATTTCAATCTATTTTCATATTCTTCATGCGATAAAGTATTTGAAACTCTTGAGTAATTCTCCTTTAATTTGTCAATTTCTTCATTTTTAATCTTGATAACATTCTGCAACTGTCTTAATTCATCATATCTATTTTGTAACTCCTATTAAAGAAATAAAACATTTCATTTAATAATATTCAATAAATACACAATACACTTTACCTTTGTCTTTTGTGCACAATCTTCCTCAGTTAAAAAGTGATTCTTTTTTTCAGTTAACAGACTCTGTTCTAAAAGCTGATTGGATTGTGCCATTCGGTTCTGAATAACCTGGTGTTGCATTTGTTGAGAGTGCATATCATTTAGCATGTTTTCATTCTTTTTATTTAATTCAGCTACCTTGTCTTTCAAAAATTCTAATTCCTTCCTAAAAATAAATGATATCAGTAAAGGAGATATGGATTTGTAATCATCAGTTATTTTAACATCATCCATCAGACAGACCATGGCTAGCTTACTTTTAAAGAAAAAAATCTTTCTTACTTGAGTTCCTCATTATATGTTTCAAAAATATTTCTGCCTTGTTCACCAGAATTATTTGTCTGCTTAAGTTCAATTAATTTCTCTTTCTCTTGTAGAATACGCTGTGCCCTAATAACATACTGCTCTTTCTCTTTTTGGGATTGAATAAGTTGCTCATTTATCCTTTCAATTTGACTATGCAGGTTTGCATTTTCATTTCTCATCTCTAAATATAAATGCTGTATATTCAACAACTCCTTGGTCACTTCGTGGTTTTCTAATTCTAATCTTGCAACTTTTAAATGGAGATCTTCTATTTCCTTAGTTTCAGTGAAACTGTTGTGCATGGAACTTGATGATACAGATGCATTATCATTCTTAATAGTCTTTACCTCAGCCACGGGACTTTCATCTAGAATACCTAAAATAAAGTTTTACCATAAATCCATTAAAAAGAGGTTTTGAATCTGACCAGGGTTTTCGTCTTCAGATATATTAGTAACAATTACTTCACTATTAACCACTGGATCTATTTCAGGTAGTGAATTATCTTGAATTTGTTCATTGTTAATGTTTCTTATTACTTCTTCACTAGACACTCGAGCTAAATTTTTATCACCGTTGTTCACATATCCATGTCTAAAATCATATAATACATTAGTATTTTAGTTAAGCTTCTAAAAAATCACTAAAACTTACTCATTTTCTTCTGATATTAGCTTATTTCCTTCATTTAGAACAGTAGCAGCATTTTGATCTATTTTATTTAATAAATCCTCTGCATGTCCAGCAAGGTTTTGAAACCATGCCATAATAGATTATTATACTTGAAGCTATAACGATCGATCTTCATAAACATATAACTTCAATCATAATATAAACTATAATGAATTTTATATTTTTATTGCAGAAAGTTTTAATCATAGGTTTTGAGTTGATATCAAAACGTCAAAATAATTTTAGGTTAGAATAACTGTTTACGTGATGTTGACGTGTAAATATTTTTTCCTTAGATTAATAATATATAGTTTTGACCACAGAATATATGTGTCTCAAAAATTGCAGATACCGTTATTCGGCAATAGGTTTTAGTATTTCTCATGGACACGAGATGGCGCTACAATGCAATTAAATTTTTTTTCGATCTATAGTCAGAAATGGAATATTTTGTAACAGTTGAGTAGTTGCTCTTACAGACTTGAAAAAATATATCCGTTTGTTGAACTTTACGGTTTTTGCTACCAAATAATAATTTATCCACTCAAAAACAAAAGATATTAAAATTATCAATAGTTTATAATTTAGATTTATCTTTAGTAAATAAAAAAAAATCAAGCAAGATTTTTACGCATTCTGTGTTTATTATCTCTTAACTGCTCAGTTTCGTAGAAATATTACTAAGGAAAATAACCACTCAGAGCATTGTTATTCTTTTTTCCCATGTCAAGATGATCTTTCATTATTTAAACGACAATTCTGGATTAACAAATATCCTTTTATAGTACGTTAACGAAGTTCATATTTTTAGAGCCGTCCTAAAATATCGATACATTAATCGATTTATTTACCTATGTATTTTACTTTTTAAAATTTTACTATTTTATGAAACCCACTTATTCTACGTATAACAGTATTTTTTAAAGATATAAGAATATAACTTCTATATATTTTCTAATATGCCGTTCTGTATATTCTACAAAACTCCATATATTATACCGATATAACGGTATTATTTGCCCATATATCGAAGACTAATAATATATATATCGACATTAGTAATTAAAAAGGGATATCCTAGCTTATTTTATTTTATTTATTTTGGATTAAAATAATTTTTAAAAGCGATATGTCACATAAATATAATTGATTGATAAGATTTATATTAATCTTGTAATGTGGAAGTTAAACTAGCATAGTAGGCAGGATGATATTTTTAATTAACAAAGAATGTGCCTAGATAAAGGTTTTCGTCTTAAGAAATATTTTTATTAGGTAGTATTTTCCAGATATATTGTTCACAAAAATTTCTCAACACTAATAATACACAGGCCATAAAACACCAAGAAAATATAAAAGAAAAAATATATAAACCCTCTAGAAAAACGCGCTTACCAACTAACAAAATTTAATTTTTTTGATAGGTACATACATTGAGCCATATATTTTCGAAAATATTAACAATTTTTTATTTAAATACTTTAAAATATTCTTTTATCTTGAATCGGGTGAATGCGCCGTGAAATATTAAGTAAACGTTATTATGTACTAAAATATTTGAAGTAGTTATTTCACTTTCAAAAATAAACTTTAGAAGAAAACGAAAAATATATGTGCTATACTATCTCCAGATCCTGTTGTCAATCAGACAGTTCATTCTAGGTGAAGTCCAGCATAGTTTTGCTAATTTACGAGGTACATCTCTGAGTCAGATTGCCCATTTTTTTAACAAACAAGTATAACAACTTTCCAGAGATACAGAAGTTATACAAATAAACAAATTTTGTTGAAATAATAAATAGTAATACTTTATCTATTTTTTAAATTTAGAAAAATTAATGGATTATATGAAACTACATATATTGTAAAAAATATTTAAATCGAAATCCTAAAAATAAACCGAGTATCTACTTATTGCTTTTAGGATATAATTTTCGAGAGTCTCTTGACATTTATTTATTTCATATCCTGCGTGATTTTGATTTATTCTCAACTAAATTATTTATTTAAAATAATCTTAGTGACAAATTGGAGTTTAAGGATATAATTATTTAGGATATAATTATTACTTATTGCTATAATGAACTTATTATATTGATTTATACCTATGTTTTTAGGGCAATTTAATACACAAATTGACTTAGAATTAAAAATTATTTAAGTATATCTAGTTATTTGTAACTATAACGAGAACACTCTCTATATATTCTTTCTTGAACTCTCTAGGCTCTTATAGACCGTCGTTATCATTAGATGAAGAAGTCAAGTCTGAATTTAACAATTACTGTATAAGGACTATTAAAAAATATGTATGTCGTGTTAGGCTTGGAATGTAGCATTTCTTAACATTATCTTAAATGTTTAAAGACGTAGCAGATTTAATAATTATAATTATTGTCGAATTTGTCAAGATTTCTATACTTAAAAATTGCTTACGTTAAATTATAAAAAATATAGGAAAGGTAAATAGAGTGACCAACGATAGATTTATTTAATTAAGGAACATGATCATACAACTAAACATAATATAATAATAAATAAAACAATAATTAGCAGATTTTTCTTTACTTTTGACAAAGCTATATCAAAAAGTGATGTTGTTTATGCACTAATCAATTTTTAATCGACATTTACTCTTCTCCTCGACCAAATGGTTCTTCTGAGTTGGTAGTTAGGTAGTACACACCTGTAACACTAAAAATAAAACAGGGACATCAGTAATCCTGTTACAATTTACATGAAAAGTACACTCCTTTACATTTTTGTTAAAATTTCAGAAATTTATATCGATATGGTTGTCTGAAATACTTACGTTGTATCGATCTTTATACCTCCCATGAAGGTGTGACTGCCATCACAATCGTGATCTACGTAATTGGTATAGCTGCTGCACTGTTGGGCTACAAATTTATTATCTTTTATGGATTCGGCATATAAAGCCCACGCTCTGTTATGACTGCAACCGAGGCCGCTGCATCCAGGTTGGGACTTGCCATCGTTGGGGAAGAAATCGCTGTGACCCAGAACATCAGCCATACCTGCAGAACCTGCATCGGTATGAATAACCTGAACGTACTTAGCATCAGCGGTGTTTAAACAAAAAGACGTGTCTTTAGCGCTAATTAAAGGTCCGGCAGGGTCTAACCCAACAATTAGGGGAAGTTCTCCGTTAAAGTACTTTCCTACGTTCCCTGCTACGTGAGCTCCGAGAGAAAACCCAACGATGGTAATATTGTCGTAGGGATATTGGAATTCGTTTGTAAGATCATCTAAAAATTCTCCGGTCCATTTTCCGACGCTTGGTACAGCATTCTTCGCAACCACGTATAATTTTCCTGCATTTACACTCCAATCGACTTTGATGATGTTTGCATCGGTGGTGGATAATATTGCCTCTCTGATGAACGTATTGGAATCCGATCCGTATCCATCTTTCCATCCGTGGATAAGGACCACAGTAGGGTGCGATGAGTTGAAAACGGTTCTAATGTGTGTGGTGTCGTTGACTTCTTTGCTGGTCACGTGAAGACCATCTGGATGAGTTCTGCTGTAGAAGTAGAAAAGCACATCATTTTCTTTGGCGGCTCCAAGTGAGGCATCTTCTGTAAGAAAAAGCGTAACCAATTTTAGTTTTAATATCTAGTTTTAAATATATAAGACTATAACAGTACATATTTTCTCTGTCACGAGGGTCACAAGTGTAACAAACAAAAAGGCAGATGAAATAGCCAAAAAAGGTTTATAATTGCCATTCTTAGCTCAGAACCTATCACTTACGGGTATAAAAAATAGATAACCTATTCTCAGACCTACTAAATATACATATAAAATTTCGTTAAAATCAGTTAAGTTGTTTCGGAGGAGTATGGTAACTAAAACTGTGGAACAAGAATTTTATATAGGGTGTCCCAGAAATAAGTGCAAGTATTTTAAGGGATGGTAGATCTCGATAAAAGACACATATTTTCTCTTTATCGTTTTTCAAAAAAGTCCAAAATAACGGAGTTATTTTACTTTGAAAATTTCCAAAAAATTTGCTAAAATATTGAGAACCACTGGATCTTTTCTGGATTTTCTTTCTTGTAAATTTAATCTAATACCTATGTTGCCATATTATCAAGAAATGATGTTTTTAAACAAAAAACTAACAACCACCAACGACAAAAGCCTCAGGCCTGTTTTTGGGGTTGAACTATACTACCAGTTAAAATCCTTGCACTTATTTCTGGGACACCCTGTTAAATAAAGTTTGTTAAACACTAACAATTCAAGCTCTTCTTTGCCATTTTAAAATTTAAAGATAGAGTGGGATTCAATAAAATTTTTAAAAAATAAACATAGTAGGTATAATTTCATACGTTAAAGAAGTACATAATCATTGATTAATAGTTGCAAAAATGTGTTCTTTGTATGAGACTCTTAACAGTGTCTCATTTTGTAAGTGCTTACTTTAAGATTAAAAAAATTGTAAATAAATCTACTTAACAAATAGTTATAGTTACCTAAAGGAATAGAAGATGCCAGGGCAACAAGGACTACGCTGACAATGATGTACCTCATCCTGCAAACTGTGCACGAAATATATTAGAGATAGACTTGAATTTATATAGTTATTATACGATTAATTATTCTGATTAGGGGACTATCTTAACTAATTAGGTTTTTTCGTAACGAGTTAAGTGTATATTACCTGAATTAAATAAAAAATTAGAGATAATTCCAGACTGATATATTTTGACGGATTTCGAGTATATCGATACTGTTTTTTTATCGCTTTCTGCTTTTAGGTATATTTAGATTGTTTCGAAATGTTTATTTTTTCAGATTTTTCTCTGTCTAGATATTATTATCAATTACTAACACCAACAGGAAAAACATATTTTATGGAATGCAAGCGATTATTGAAATATTTATATTAATAATATTTTATTTTTGTTTTTATCATTAATATTTTTTTAAGTGGAACAATTACAATTAAATGATAAGGGAAACAGCTGATAGGGCATAGTGTGATCAACGTGATGATCGAGGCCTCAGACTTTTTGACATCACGAATTTAAATCCTAACGAATTCTGGTATATATATATGAAAAACCTTTTGAAATGACTGGCCATTTTCCTTTCTTTAAATGTTCTTATTCATACCAAATCTACATTATCAGCTGCTTGAGAAATATATATTTTAAAACCTATTCAAATGAAATATAAAATTAAGTTAGATGGATACAATACGATAATGAAATACTTCTAACTTAAAAAAAACATTTTGTTTATCGATACACTTTCGACATTAATTCTATTTCACTTAAATTAACTTTATTTTTAGCTTTTTCTATTGTTCAATTTTACAAATGGCGTTACGTGTGAGCTTTTCTATGAAAAATCACTCTGCCGCATTTTCCGCTTACAAATGACTCACCTGCGACATAATGGTAATTTCTTAAGTTGAAAGCGGCATATTTTAGGCCTTATGGAACTTTTCGATTTCCTGTTTATTCTCGTGCATTCAAATGAAAATTGCACGAATTTTTAAGGATTTTTTGGGTTCTTTTCATTGAATTGTGTTTGCTCGCACTTGACAGAGAGATAACGAAAAATCAAGACATACACTCTAAGGTGTATGGCTTTATTTTTAATATAAAGTATGTATATTTATACTAATATATAAAATCCTTAAGTGACTGACATACTGATTAATCACGATCCTGCTCAAACCACTCAACGTAAGAAGCTCAGTTTTGGCATACAGGTTACTAAGAGGGTGAAACCATCCCTCAAATATTACAATATTTATTTACCATTTTTTATTTAAAAAACGGTCAAGTTTCCGAAAAAACACGTATATTTTATTTTGTTTTTTTACATATTTTAAGATTTTTTAAAAATGTATACAGGGTGTTTCGAAAAATCTGGTCAAGGATTAATCACGATCCTGCTTAAAGCGCTTGACGTAAAAAGCTGATTTTTGGAAAACAAATTGAATTTAGGGTGTAGAGGTTCGATAAGAATGGATTTTTCGAAATTCGAATTCTAAGGGGGTGAAACCACCCCTCAAATATTAGAATATTTTTTATTTAAAAACCTGTGAGTTTTTCGGAAAAACTCTTAAACACGTATATTTTATTTTGTTGTTTTACATATTTTAAGTTTTTTTAAAAATTTATACAGGGTGTTTCATAAAATATGACCATTGAGTAATCAGGATTCTGCTTAAACTGCTTGACATTTAAAGCTGATTTTTGGTAAACGGATTGACTGTGGGGTGTAGAGGTTCGAAAGAGGGGTTTCTCGAATCTCAAATTCCAAGAGGGTAAAAACGCCCCTCAAATATTACATTATTTGTTATTTAAAAAACGGTTAGTCTTTCGAGAAAACGCTTGGTCACGCATAATTTATTTTGTTTTTTTGCAGATTTTGAATTTTTTTAAAAAATCATACAGGGTGTTCCAAAAAGTTGGTTGTGATTGATTAACCACGATTCTGCTTAAATTGCTTGACGTAAAAAGCTTAATTTTGGCAAACGGATTTTTCGAAAGGCAAATTCCAACAAGATGAAACTGCCCCTCAAATATTACCAAGTTATAGAATAATATCGCCATATTGTTTTTTCTCATGCTGTTAATGGAAATTCTTGCTTTGCTTTATCATCACCATTACAAATATAATGATTAATTCGACGCGAACGAAGTCGCGGAAACACGCTAGTATTTTATAAAAAATGTTCTTCGTATGCATTTATTTTCTTTAGAGTTTCTGGAACCGGAAATTTCGGTACTGTGCTACTTAGGAATCGGGATTTCTCGTTTTTTTCGGTACTTTTGATACTATTCTATAAACGGTACTATAAATAAGGGACGGGATTCTAAAATTAAAAATGCAAATGCCTATAAAAACATAACATAAAAAACTTTAACCATCTAGCAACATTATACCAAAAAATAAATTAACATATTTGAACTTCAATAATTGCTAATAAATATTATAGGAACTTGAAAACAATTTCAGAAGTAAGAACAGTAAGAGATAGCATCATTACTTATTTAGAAGAGTTTGATTTCGGCCGCTAAAAAGTATTAATGGACTTTCGCATGCAACAAAACATATTTTTTTGAATATTGTTACCAACTCCCGAAAGTACCGAAAGAACCGGGAATTAATAATTTCGAGTCATGGTCCTTTGATGTCTTAAAAGAACCGTGGGGAACTTAAATTCCCCGTTCTGAACTCCAATTTTCTTAAAGAGTGTGATTTGATTTTTTTTTCAGTCCAAGTAGATATTATATGTCTTAATTTTCTCAAAGTAAATAAAAAAAAATGGCTTAAATATGTAGTTAAAAGGATACTGAATTAGAACTAAATATTTACGATTTAAGTAAGTGTCTTACGAATGTCAATTTTTTGATAAATTTGATTCCGCAGACGACTAATAAATAATAAAATTGTAAAGCAGCTTAACTGAAACCATTCATAAATCATATCAGTTTTTGCGTTTCTTTTCTATTCACAAGTGCAAAATAAATATCCATCCATACTTTGCACATTTTTTGCGTATTTGTAATGTTCTAATTAGGGGAATACGGAGCACCTAAACTAATTTATTGGGTGGTCTGCGCAGTAATAGTGAATGTCTATAGATACTTTAAAGAAGCTATTAAAAAAATCGGTTAAAACTAGGACTATTACAAATCTTGTTTAACGTAATTTGTTTTTAATTGGAAATGTAATATTTCATTAATCATATTTTGAACATGAAAATTGTTGAGGATTTATAATTTATAATGACTGTCTACGGCAGCAGTTTTATTCATACTCGCTATAGTACAAGCTTTATAATAATAATAATGTAACACTAATTGAAATAATTTTATAAAATACGTATTACCTGGAAAATCCCGTTTTCTATTTAATTTCTTTTATTTTACGTTATTTATGTTGCCCGACATTCCCCCATTTTAATATTAGGAAATATATCTTGAATATATATTTTTTAATTAAAATTGCTGTAAATAGATATACAGGGTGTCATTGAAATGGTGTAAAAACAATCGGGGGGTGATAATATTCCTAAAAATATTAAAAAAAGTTCCTATAAGTATAGGAAGGAAAATGCATATTAAGGGAGTTAGGGGCACTGAAAGGGTGTATTTAAAAAACGGTTGTTTTGAAATTGTAGGCTTAAAAAACTAGATACAATTTTGAAAAAAAATTCTCTTCCATAAATTTTGATCTTAAATGAAAAGGTGATACTGAAAAATTATTTGGAAGAGCGGAAAGGGTGGTTTTTGCAAGGATAGGGGATTTTTTCGTGAATAACTTATTTGAAGTTATTTTTTTTGCAACGTGGGTTCATTTTTTGAAAACTACATACACTTTCCTACAAAAAAGGTACTCTTGTTGCACATCCCTAGAGTGATGGTTTTCGAGAAAATTGAAGGCATAGAGTTTGCTCTGATAGGTTGCTAACTGGTTAATCAACATAAATTTATGAAAGTTATGGCGCATGGCGGTTCAAAAGTAACCAAGTAGTTATTAAATAATTAATTGGAAAATCAAAATTTCAGGATTTTTAAAACATCTTTTTGCTTTAAAAACGATATAAACCAATCACCAAAATTCCTTATTAAAATAAATGCATCCCAAGTAGCATTTTCACGACTTGCGACCACATGTTTACTAAACACAACGTTGGATTAGTTACAAAAAATAGTTAGCTCCCTACCTTGTGTATTAAAATAAATTTAAAGGTTTTTATAACGTTGTGCCGACGTTGGACTAGTACTACAGCAAAGTAGAAGCTTCTGCGACGTCGAATAAACGTTGTCTTCTAACCTTTTTTGCTTAAGTGATCTTTAGGTGATTCGGACAACGTAGTTACAACGTTGGACAATATAGAGTTTTCCGACGTCAGTTTCAGGACCTATTCCAACGTTATGCAAACGTCGTCTGTTTTACTAATTCCAACGTTGTTTAGATTTCCTTATTCTTACGTTGGTAGGACGTCGAGTCACTACCTTTTTGCAACTGTATTGAACCATAACCTTAAATCTTAAATTTTCACTTCATTGTTCTGTTCAGTCAGACAGTTCAGTACTGTTTTTATTTTTATAAAAAAAAACTTAATTAAAATGGGACATAAGAAAGGTACATATATTACCGATAGTTTATCCACTCCCTCGTTTATTTAGATTATAGAGAGCGGCACAAGCTAGACTCTAGGATGACTAAATTAGGCAATCTTGCGCCTAGTATACTACCTGTTAAGGCCGAACTGCGACTTTATTAGTCCAGTATGCGACTACTCGAACTACTCCATCTTAATCTCCCAAAACAACAAAGTGAAAGCCGCCATGTTGTTAAATAAGAAAATGTTTCGTTCCTAAAATAGCAATTCCTGCTTTTTGAATATATTAACTTGAAATATTTGACCCTAAAAATCACGCGGAAACAATTTTTTCGACTGCGAATAAATTATTCTTATTTTATTAAAAAAAAATTCAAGAAAATTTTTAAAACTTCTTTAATTTTAACGCCCATTAGTATTTTTCAAAGTAGAAACAATACATTTATCAGTAAAGTTGTTTGCGTTTAACTTTTTTGCCTTGGGTAACGAGTTACAGAGTCGGTTAAAGTGTTTCAATAATTATGATCTTCAAACATCCTCCACACTTAAAAACTTTTGTTTAGTATTCCTTCACTGCCATCTGACATATGTCTCTAACTAAATCATAAAAATAATATTTTTACTATAATTGTCCCAATTTAGGTTAAAACGCGACTTAGACGCCATATTAGTTTTGTATTTCTGTGAATTAGGATTATAAACAACGTTGCAGTTTGTACTAAATTAGGCTTCTAGCCAACGTCGGTATCCAACGTCGTTTCGACCCAAAAATTATTCTCCAAACTAGTGCAGAGTAGGGTTGGCACGAGGTTGTCCCGACGTTGCGCCCCGACGTTTGGTCGCGTGACACAACGTTGTCCCGACGTCCAAATGCCGCTTGGGATTCCTTAATTCATTCATAGTAAATGTTCAAAGTGACCACCATTCATTTCAATGCAGACATCTGCTCTTCTTTTCTAAAATCTGCGTACCCTGTGGATTATCCTTGGTGTCCGAATTTGATTGGAACAGTCAATAATGCGTTGCCGTAGTTGCTCTTCAGTATTAATCGGTACTGAGTAAACCAAAGCTTTCAAGTGGCCACAGAAGTAGAAATCTAGTAGGTTATTTCGTTTTTTAAAGCAATAAGATGTTTTAAAAATAATGAAACTTTAATTTTTCAATTAATTATTTGATAGCTAATTGGTTACTTTTGAACCGCCATAACTTTCATAAGTTTATGTTGATTAACCAGTTAGCAACCCATCAGAGCAAACTCTTTGCCTTCAATTTTCTCGAAAACCTGCCAGCCTGATGATGGGCAGGACTCTTGACAAGAAGGACGGACAACAGGTGGACCACAAAAATTACAACATAGTAGCCACGAGAAATTAAAAGACCTAGAAGAAGATTAAACCTGAGATGGGACTATGATATTAGCAGGGATAACTTGGGCACGCATAGACAACAAGAGACAACTATGGGCCCAACTACAAAGAGAGTATCTAAATATGTGTTTCAACTACACCATAGTTGAAAATTGTTGAATAAGCTAAAAATGATGATGATGATGATATCAGTCACAGTGTTTTCTTTAGTTATTGATTGTTAGATTGTATACAGGGTGTTTTTAAACATAAAAGTCAATAAGGAAGTCTATTTAATAAATTTGCTATGTTTTGTAGTTCCTAAGAAGCTCCTCTTAATTTTGGGTCTAAGGAAGATAGCACGTCCTTTTTAATAACTTTAATAAAATAAATCTCTTGGCCATAATTAATAATTCTAATATCTGGTAATTTTATTTTTCGTAATAAGATTTTTTTCATTTATTGATACGAACTTTGTAGCTATATGTAATTTGCCAGGTGTACAGTATACCGTTTAAAAAAATCAAGAAATTTAATAAAGTATTCTGTTTATTTCATCTGTTTGTTACTATTCAAAATCTTGACTTTTAAAAGTGAGATAACGTAATCTCTACGATTGATTACGTGCGTATAAAATTGATGTCCTGTTATTTCTACCTCAATTGCCAAAATGAAGTTTTCAGTGCTTGCAAGTTTGGTCCTTTTATATTCTTGCTGTACAATTGCAGGTATGTACAAAAATATTACTACAACAGAAAAAAATACATAGTATATTCATTCACAGGTGCGGCTATAATAACTAGGGCAAGTGAAGAAGATGTGACCTATGTGTTCTACAGTAGATCCGTTTTTGATGGAATAGAAGTCACCATTAAAGAAGTAGATGACGTTGAGCATATTAAGACTGTGTTTGATCCCGAGCATCCCACAATTGTTCTTATTCATGGTTGGAAAGACGGCTATGCTGCTAATTCAAACACTTACATCAGAAGTGCCATTTTATCCCACTTGGATGCAAACGTGATTAAAGTCGACTGGAGTAAACTTGCCGGAAAAATATATTTGGTTGCTAAAAATGCTGTTCCATCTGTCGGTAAATACGCTGCACATTTTCTTCAAGAACTAACAGAGGAATTTGATTATTCTTTGAAGAACGTCACCCTAGTAGGCTTTTCCTTGGGTGCCCATGTTGCAGGAAACATTGGTAAAACCTTAAAAGGCGAGTTTCCACTGATTATTGGTCTTGATCCAGCGGGTCCTTTGATCAGCTCAAAAAATAAGGCCTACTCTCTGTGTACTGATGATGCTGATTATGTCGAAATCATTCACAGTGATGCTGGAAGTGCAGGCATGAAGGATGCTATTGGACACAGCGACTTTTATCCAAACGGAGGAAAAAATCAACCTGGGTGCAGTGGAGTTGGATGCAGTCATAATAGAGCTTGGGAATACTACGCTGAGTCTATTACTGATAATAAATTTGTTGCTCAAAATTGTAATAGTTATAGAGATTTTACTAAGAAGAGGTGTGAAGGATCGTATGCTTACATGGGAGGATTTACCGTGGATAAAACGTAAGCTTTATTATATTTAATTTAAATGCACAGGGTGATTAAAACTACTATGGCTAATACCAGGAAAATTAAGATTATTGAAATTTTTTTATATAAAATATGCGTCAATGTTTTTTTTTGATATAGAGATAAAATTCAATTGCAGAAAAAATAATACTACATGGTGACACTGTAGTATTTTATACACGGGTTATCTATTTGCGATTTTTTTTGAGATTTTACACTTATAAAAAAAGAATTTAAGATAATTTTTTAATAAAAAAACAAAATTTTAATTAATAATGTATGAAGTGGTTACACACGTGTTTGAGTTAATTATGTTATTATCATTTTTTTTCTCCTTTTAGGGTTAGCGGAGTCTATTATTTAGATACTAATTCTGAGGCACCATATGGACAAGGCTAATTAGAAAATGTGTGTGTATACAACAATCACTAAAAATGTTCTATTTTGAAAGAAATAAATATTTTTACAAGCTGATTTAAATTAGTTTCATTGGTTAATTAGTAAAGTAGGTGATTAATATATGAATAAAAAATAATTATTTTGTCCCAGCAGCCACTTTTCAAATGTGGTTCCACCTTTGATTAGGGTGTATTTTTATATATGTTCACCTCGTTTTTACCACTATTCAAACTAATTTATTTTACATACCCTTTATTTCTTATGTTAATTTTATTTAGAAAATAAATATTTCTTACTTCTATGGCAATTAAAAAAACACCTGTAAATAATTCTGTTTCTTAAGATGTTCAATCATACAGAACTTTACTTCTCTAAAGGTAATTTTTTCTTTGTAATATTATATAAAAGATGTCTACTCTTCTGGTAGGAAGCGACATAAAAAATGAATATACATTTATATAAGCACAAAAAACGTATTCACAAGCAGCGACATTTTTTGCGTATTCTATAATTTAGAAATATAGCTAAAAGTGGAATAAAATATGGTTTTCCTTTCTATGCCATTTATCTCCTCTATTTATATAAGGATATTAAAAAAACACATATTCGTTATTTTGATTAAATAGATTATTAAACATATTAATATATTATTGATTTGAATTTGAATGTGTGATTCAACAAAAAGTAAATATAGACAGAATAATTACAGACATCTATAGCCATTCCATTGTAAGGGGAAAATATTGTATTATTATAATCATTATATTATTATATTTATTGACAAATTGTAACTCTGTCCGTAATTATTTGTTATAGTAACGGTTGTAAATTGTTAAATACTTTTAGCAGGAATTACATTATATAAAGTTTTCTACTCGTAAATTTACATCAACAATGTATTAATCACAAGATTAAATTTGCTTGAGATTAGGTCTAGGGTTAATCACTATCACAAATTAATCCATTAAAAGTCTATATATAATTTGACAGAAAGAAAATTGTGTCATACGGGTATTTAGTTACGGTTAAAACAATGAGAGCTTTAGTTGCGTGTAGTTTTGCTCTTCTTTGCCTGTTTTCTGCAGCTTCTTCTGAAGGTAAATTTCTTGTTTTATTTATTATAAGCAAAATATTATTTATTATTCCCTAAGATAATTATTCTTTGTTTATATTTCAGGAGGAGACAACGGCTCAATTGAAGATGAAATAACTTACGCATTTTATAGCCGTTCATACTTTGACGGTATCTTTACCCATATCTACGAAGACCCCGACTTTGTTAATATTCGGCGAGTGTTCAATCCAAAGAAACCAACCGTTGTTTTGATCCATGGTTACCAAGATGGATATGGAGCAGACTCCAACACTTACGTGAGGAAGGCTATCCTTGAAAAAACAGACGCAAACATAATCAAAATCGATTGGAGTACTTTAGCTGGGGGAAGTTATTTTGTTGCTAGAGACTCTGTGCCGTACGTTGGGCTTTTTGCAGCTCAATTTTTACAAAGAGTTGCTAAGAAATTTCATTATTCAATTAGTAATGTGACACTGGTAGGTTTCTCTTTGGGAGCTCACATTGCAGGAAATCTAGGAAGAACTCTGGGAGGAAAAGTTGGTGTTATAGTAGCCTTAGATCCCGCTGGTCCTTTTATTGAAGGCGACCTTAGTGTTACGAAATCTGATGGCAAATATGTACAGGTAAGGTATAACACAATTTATATTTATTATTTTTGAATTTGAAATCAGATTGGTTATCGAGGTACAAAAATAATTAGTTTATCTTTCCGTAAATCTTAATAAAAATATTGATATTTGTGATTAATAAAGCTAATTAGCTAAATAAAAGTCAAGACAGTTTCAGATATATTTCGTAGTTTCGTTTCATGAAGTGTCTGTTTTTAGTCAATTCACACAAATGGTGGAATGTTAGGTATGACAGCTGCAGTTGGGCATGCAGATTTCTATCCTAATGGTGGTTCAAGGCAGCCAGGATGTGGACTGGATCTTGTAGGAGGATGCGCGCATAACAGAGCTTGGGAATTCTTTGCTGAATCTGTCAATGATAACCGTTTTGTATCGCAAGAGTGTTCTACATGGGATGAATACAACAAGAATGCTTGCAATGGGACTTTCAAACTCATGGGTGGACTATCCAATATTGATAAAACGTAATGTTACTATACAATAAGCCATAATAATCATATGAAATTTTTCTTTATTTTATAGGGCACGTGGAATTTATTATTTAGCTACAAATAACCAGTCACCTTATGGTCGTGGATAAACCCACTGAAAAAGAAGATCATGTGAATTATATACACGTACATGTTAATTAGTTTGTGTTATTTTCTAATAAATATTTATCTTTGAGTCTTATTGGTTATCAGAAAAATGTTTAATTCTTATAAAAATAGAATAAAAAACCATTTTATAAACAATTCGTAATAATTTATTGTTGGTTATTTAATTGTTGAATCTGTATAATAGGAAATAATGGTACAGAAAACAATAACATTGTGTGCTCTTGTTGTCAGTACAAATTATTGTGAAACACGTACAAGATAATGTTCTGTTACATTGTATTTTGATTTCTCTCCAACTTGAACCATCTCTGTATGCTTTCACATTCTATAATCAAGTAGCTTTTTTTGTTTTTCGATATAAAATTTATGTAAGCAAATCGACATATCATATTATATGTTTCTCGGTTCATGAGCTATCCAGAGCTTTGTTTAAAGAAGTGCAATTATATTCAGAACTGGTAGATTTCGGTAAGAAATATATTTTATATTATCGGTTGTGAAATACCTAGTTGTCATATTATATATATATATATATATATATATATATATATATATATATATATATATATATATATATATATATATATATATATATATATATATATACTATTAATGTCAATAAATCTACTGTACAGGGTGAGCAAACGATATCCAAAATATATGTCCCTCTTGTTTTACTCCATGAATAAACACTAAGTTATATATACATTTCATATTTTTGTTATTATATTTATGTCAATAACAAAAGTTTAGAAAACGATTAAACAGCTGCCTACTTAAATGAAAATAAGCGTCATCATTTCCAAATATTAAGTGACCCTTTTTTCCTTTCAATTTTTTTATATTTGAGATTGGCGTCAAAAAGGATGTCAGCTAATCTATCTAATTGCAAGATTTATCATACGTTTATTTTTATCCGATAAAAACCAACGACATTTCATGGTTGGTAACGATTTCGTGGAGCCACCAGGTATACAAAATATGTCAGCATTATTTTGACAGAAATATTTACCGTAAAAAATAAGATTAAGGGTATTTTAGAACAAAAACACAATAGAAATATTAATTTATATCTTTTATTCTAAAGGAAATAACCTCTAATCAGGTGATCTATCAAAATTTCTAATCTTACCCCCCTGACATTTTTATTGGCAAATGTTTCAATTATGGAATTAACTTCTGTTGGAACGTCAGTAAACATCCGATTTAAAAAATTTATAAACAACAGTATAAAGAAGCACATATTTTGGTTTTAATGCTTAGGAAAGAGACGGGAGAGTTTTTAATGAAATATTTTATAAAAATCTTAGTTAATCTTATCATCGGACCATTTACAAAATTAAGGAATAAATTTAGATATAAATAAGTAACGAGAGCACTATTTTGTATTCATTTATAATCAGTGAATTAAGTGTCACTAAGCTACTTTCAAAATGAAGGCAGCACTACTTTTTTTAGTAGCTGTTGCGACATATTGCTCAGCAACTCCAGGTAAGTCTATATTATTTGGAATTTCTATATCCAAATTTGATATTTATTGAGTATTTTTTGTATAACTGTGCTTAAATCTATGATAAAATATATGGGTGTTTGATTTCAAAAAATATTTCTTATGAAAATAATGAATTAGGTACATAGATATTTGATAATTTAAAATTTTTAATGCGCTTTAGATGCCCTATAATTATCTAAGAGTGATTGTATTTCAATCACTACTCAGTAATATATTAGCACCTTATGGTATTCTTGAAATGGTCATTGTATGGCAAATCTACTTAAAAATGGAAATTTTAGTTTAAAAATAAGTTTAAAAACTAAGTTAATATTGACGGATAAAGACCTAGGTCACCCAGTATTGAGAATATTTTTTAGAATTAGTATTTATTATTAAGTTAATTTAGTTAACTCGTAATAAATATAGGAATTGGATTCAAACTGTATTGAATTTTGGAATATTAAACTAGCAATTCATGTTTTTTAGTTAAATTAAGTAGCGAAGCTGTCAGGAAGTATGTCAACGATTCCAGGTATATAGTTCGTGAAACAGAGAAGGGACTTTATGAAGTTGAAGATCTTACTGAATTAGCAACAGAAGTTTTCGCTACTGAAGATGACATTACCTTCTATTTTTTCTCACAATCGAATCGCAATGGTTTGTTAAAAAAAAAATAACTATGTTTTTATTTTCTATTTTTTTATCACATTCCAATCTGTTTAGGTGTCGAAATCAAGGAAAGTCAGTTACACGATATTGTTAGACTTACTGGTTTCGATATTAATAAAGAAACATTAGTGGTTATCCATGGATGGCAAAACGACTACACATCACCCGTGAACGATCATATCAAAACCGCAGCTTTGCAAGGTCACGACATCAATGTTATTGTCGTCGATTGGAGTCCAATTGCTGCACGGAGATACATCATAGCCCAACCTGCTGTACTCAGAGTTGGCAACTATATTGGAGACTTCTTGCTTAGATTGGATAATGAACTAGGACATAGACTGACAAAAGTTTCGTTAGTTGGGCACTCATTGGGAGCTCATATTGCTGGTAAAACAACATAAAATAAAGATTCTTTTTCATTTTTTATATTATATACTTTCGAATTCTAGGAAATATTGGAGCCAGGACTGGTGGATTGGTAGATAACATCATTGGTTTGGACCCTGCGGGACCTTTTTTTACCCAAAGGAATATCGACAATAGGCTGGACCCCACTGATGCTCGCTATGTTCAAGTCATCCACACCAATGATGGAGTTTTAGGATTTGGAATTATAATGGGACATGCTGATTACTACCCCAACGGCGGAAAAATTCAGCCAGGATGTGGAATCGACATAGTAGGAAGTTGCGCACATAGCAGGGCCTATGTATACTACGCAGAGAGTTTAAACAACAACAATTTCATCTCGAGATTATGTTCAAGCTACTCCGACTTTTCATCTAATAGATGTAATTCCAACACAACTAGCTTTTTGGGAAGTTTCCCAATTGATAAAACGTAAGTATCTCTAAATACCTGACCAGAAACTATATTAACTTTTTCTCTTTATTAAATATAGGGCTACTGGAGAGTACTTCCTTGAAACAAACAGTAATTCTCCATATGCTAGAGGTTAAATGATGGAATCAGTTATTGTGCTTCGTATAACATCTGTAAATTATGTTTGAATCAAATGTAAATAATTTTTTTTTGAAAAATTTGGATGGCTGATAAAGATATATGTTTATATTACTTATTCATTATATAAACTTAACTTTTACACAAGTGTATTATTTTGCTCCTGAAAGAAAACATTTGATGCGACACTCCTTATGGCATTGACACTGCCTTGTGGATCAACAGCTTTTATCAAAGTTACTGGATATATATTTTAGTTTACTCTAACTCTAAACGCTCTGTCATTTAGAGAGACATTAAATTTAAAGCAAATTTATGTTCTCATTACAAAATAAGTTACATTTTATATAAACAGTTATTATCTATACTAATATATAAAATCCTTCAGTGACTGACATACTGATTAATCACGATCCTGCTCAAACCACTCAACGTAAGAAGCTCAATTTTGGCATACAGGTTGACTCTAGGGTGTAGAGGTTCGATAAAAAGGGATTTTTCGAAATTCGAGTTCCAAGAGGGTGAAACCACCCCTCAAATATTACAATATTTTTTATTTAAAAAACGGTCAAGTTTCCGAAAAAACGCTTAAACACGTACATTTTATTTTGTTTTTTTACATATTTTAAGATTTTTTAAAAATGTATACAGGGTGTATCGAAAAATATGGTCAAGGATTAATCACGATCCTGCTTAAAGCGCTTGACGTAAAAAGCTGATTTTTGGAAAACAGATTGACTTTAGGGTGTAGAGGTTCGATAAGAAGGGATTTTTCGAAACTCGAATTCTAAGGGGGTGAAATCACCCCTCAAATAATAGAATATTTTTTATTTAAAAACCGGTGAGTTTTTCGGAAAAACTCTTAAACACGTATATTTTATTTTGTTGTTTTACATATTTTAAGATTTTTTAAAAATTTATACAGGGTGTTTCATAAAATATGACCATTGAGTAATCAGGATTCTGCTTAAACTGATTGACATTTAAAGCTGATTTTTGGTAAACGGATTTACTGTGGGGTGTAGAGGTTCGAAAGAGGGGTTTCTCGAATCTCAAATTCCAAGAGGCTGAAAACGCCCCTCAAATATTACATTATTTGTTATTTAAAAAACGGTTAGTCGAGAAAACGCTTGGACACGCATAATTTATTTTGTTTTTTTACAGATTTTGAATTTTTTTAAAAAATCATACAGGGTGTTCCAAAAAGCTGGGTAATTGATTAACCACGATTCTGCTTAAACTGCTTGACGTAAAAAGCTTAATTTTGGCAAACGGATTTTTCGAAAGTCAAATTCCAACAAGATGAAACTACCCCTCGAATATTACCAAGTTATATAATAATATCGCCATATTGTTTTTTCTCATGCTGATATAAATGTGAGAAAATTTTATCCAGTTTGTTTGTTAATGGAAATTCTTGCTTTGTTTTATCATCACCATTACAAATAATGATTAATTCGACGCGAACGAAGTCGCGGGAACACGCTAGTCACTTATAAATTCAGACATGCTGTCAATTACACTTAAAAATTTAGATATCATTTTTAAGGAGATACCAGCATTTAAAAATATAGTGTTAAGAAGCATATTTCATGCTTACAAATTCTACTTACAAACTCCATAAGAATCTAAAAGTTGACTATTCTCAACTGAAATGCAGAGGTGTGTATCAAAATCGTCAAAAGTGAAATGAAGGAATACTATTTCTAGTCTTGTGTCAAGAATACTATTTCCAGTGTAGATAGTGCTGACTTAGGGCATTTAAATAATGCGTGTAGAAACACTAATGAATACCATTTAAACTAAAAAAGAATAGTAATAGAATAAGTTAGATTAAGACTACTGCTTATTGGTTATTCCTGATGGACTGTATATTTTGCTAGCTGTACTTATAACATATAAAAAATATAGGTCGGATTTTAAAACTAGAAAGTAAACAATGAGAATATTTTTTTTATTATATATAATAAATATATACTATACATACTCACTATTAAGCTTTAAGATAAATGTTACTAAGTTTTATTAATAGGAATGTTTTTACTTGAATAGTGGCGATCAGATTGATGTGTTTTTTAATTTCTTAAAGGTTTTTGGGGATATTTTTTTAGAAACTTGTATGGAAACTGTACAATTTGGAATGGTGAATTTTTAACAACGATAGAATAAATAAAACTACGGCAAGTAAATTTATGCAGGTTACATTTAATACTTAACTATTTTATACATATATACATATTTCATCAATACACTGGTGTTTATCAATTAACCTCTAGCAAATAGGGACTTGGAGTTTGTACGAAGGTAGTAGTTTCCATTAACCCTAATGATTGAAAAAAAAAATAATACTAGTTATATATTAAAAAAAATTTTTTTAATGAAATCTATATACTAAAAATTATACTAATATAAATATAAGCATTTAGATGACTTACGATCTGGAAATTGGAAAACCTCCCATAAGACTTGCTCTGTTGGAATTGCATCTGTTAGAGGTAAAGGAGGAGTATTTTGAGCACAATCGAGACATGAATTTGTTATTGTTTATGCTTTCTGCGTAGTAATTGTATGCTCTTCTGTGCGCACATCTTCCAAGTAAGTCCGTGCCACATCCCGGTTGAGATCTACCGCCATTAGGATAATAATCAACGTGTCCCGATTTAACTCCAAATCCTAAACGCCCGTCATTGGTGTGGATGACTTGAACGTAACGGGCATCGGTAGGGTCTAAACGATTATTTATATTTCTTCTAGTAAAAAGGGGTCCTGCAGGATCCAGTCCAATAATGTTTTCTACTAAACCACCAGTTCTAGCTCCAGCATTTCCTAAATTCAAAAGTATATATACTATATCTGCAATAAAGAGAAACTTTAAATATTATTTTACCAGCAACGTGAGCTCCCAGGGAATGTCCAACGATGGATACTTTCTTCAATCTGTGTTGAAGTTCGTTATCCAATCTGATCAAAAAGTTTCCTATGTAGTTTCCGACTCTTACAACGGCACGTCGAGCTCTAATGTATTTCTGCCTCGCAATTGGATTCCAATCAACTACAATAACATTGATATTGTTGTTTTGCAAAACTGCGTTTTTGATTTGATCATTGACAGCTGATGTGTGATCGTTTTTCCACCCGTGAATGACAACCAGAGTTTCAATGCTTACATTAAATCCTGTAAGCCGGACAATGTTACGTAGCTGACTTTTCTTGATTTGCACACCTAAACATTGCAAAATCTGTTAATAAAAAACAAAATTAATTGACTTTATAACATACCATTGTGATTCGATTGTGAGAAGAAATGGAACGTTATATCTGATTCAATTGCGGAAAGTACGGAAAGTTCTGAATCAGGTGCGGAAAGATCTTCGACTTCGTAAAATCCGTCATTAGTTTCATAAACTAAATATTTGGCATCGTCGACATATTTAAGTACAGCTTCGCCACTTATGTTAACTAAAAAGTTAAAGTGATTAACTTTTAACTGAAAATTTTAGTAATAATGATCAATACAAGGTAATCCAATGTACCAAAGAAAAGTCTATATCAGGTTTTCTGTTATAAAATGATTAGCTTTATCATTGATCTCTGTGTGTTTTATAAAAAATGTCAAAATTGATTTGGAGGAAAACTAATAGAGATTTTTATGGGTAAAGTAGAAACATAGGCAGAAAAAAAGCAAGTTACATACAGTTCCCGAGCAAGATGTAGCAACGGTAAGTAGGAGCAGAAATGCCTTCATTTTGAGGTTGATTGAGGTAAACTGATTGCAGATGAATACAAAATTCAGTTATTTATATGTAAATTCATTGCTTTATTTGTATATAGTGCCTTGATAAGATTAACTACGATTTGTATGTAATATTTTATATGTAACTTATTTATTTACTTTGTATTTGTGCATTTTTTAAATCAATTGTTTACTCACGTTCTAATAGAAATTAATTTCATGCTTATAATTTTTGTGAATGTGTTTATTGTATTGAATTAGTGTGAATTGTGTGAATAGTGTGAATAATTTCAGCCGTCGAAATAAATTTAGATATAAATAAGCAACGAGAGCACTATTTTGTATTCATTTATAATCAGTGAATTAAGTGTCACTAAGCTACTTTCAAAATGAAGGCAGTGCTACTTTTTTTAGTAGCTGTTGCGACATATTGCTCAGCAACTCCAGGTAAGTCTATATTATTTGGAATTTCTATATCCAAATTTGATATTTATTGAGTATTTTTTGTATAACTGTGCTTAAATCTATGATAAAATACATGGGTGTTTGATTTCAAAAAATATTTCTTATGAAAATAATGAATTAGGTACATACATATTTGAAAATTTAAAATTTTTAATGCGTTTTAGATGCCTTACAATAATATGATGCCTGATTATTACCAATTCATTCATTATTAACACTTCATTATTTAGCTATTCATGTTTTTTAGTTAAATTAAGTAGCGAAGCTGTCAGGAAGTATGTCAACGATTCCAGGTATATAGTTCTTGAAACAGAGAAGGGACTTTATGAAGTTGAAGATCTTACTGAATCAGCAACAGAAGTTTTCGCTACTGAAGATGACATTACCTTCTATTTTTTCTCACAATCGAATCGCAATGGTTTGTTACAAAAAATAACTATGTTTTTGTTTTCTATTTTTTTATCACATTCCAATCTGTTTAGGTGTCGAAATCAAGGAAAGTCAGTTACACGATATTGTTAGACTTACTGGTTTCGATATTAATAAAGAAACATTAGTGGTTATCCATGGATGGCAAAACGACTACACATCACCCGTGAACGATCATATCAAAACCGCAGCTTTGCAAGGTCACGACATCAATGTTATTGTCGTCGATTGGAGTCCAATTGCTGCACGGAGATACATCATAGCCCAACCTGCTGTACTCAGAGTTGGGAACTATATTGGAGACTTCTTGCTTAGATTGGATAATGAACTAGGACACAGACTGACAAAAGTTTCGGTAGTTGGGCACTCATTGGGAGCTCATATTGCTGGTAAAACAACATAAAATAAAGATTCTTTTTCATTTTTTATATTATATACTTTCGAATTCTAGGAAATATTGGAGCCAGGACTGGTGGATTGGTAGATAACATCATTGGTTTGACCCTGCGGACCTTTTTTTACCCAAAGGAATATCGACAATAGGCTGGACCCCACTGATGCTCGCTATGTTCAAGTCATCCACACCAATGATGGAGTTTTTTTTTAGGATTTGGAATTATAATGGGACATGCTGATTACTACCCCAACGGCGGAAAAATTCAGCCAGGATGTGGAATCGACATAGTAGGAAGTTGCGCACATAGCAGGGCCTATGTGTATACTACGCAGAGAGTTTAAACAACAACAATTTCATCTCGAGATTATGTTCAAGCTACTCCGACTTTTCATCTAATAGATGTAATTCCAACACAACTAGCTTTTTGGGAAGTTTCCCAATTGATAAAACGTAAGTATCTCTAAATACCTGACCAGAAACTATATTAACTTTTTCTCTTTATTAAATATAGGGCTACTGGAGAGTACTTCCTTGAAACAAACAGTAATTCTCCATATGCTAGAGGTTAAATGATGGAATCAGTTATTGTGCTTCGTATAACATCTGTAAATTATGTTTGAATCAAATGTAAATAATTTTTTTTTTGAAAAATTTGGATGGCTGATAAAGATATATGTTTATATTACTTATTCATTATATAAACTTAACTTTTACACAAGTGTATTATTTTGCTCCTGAAAGAAAACATTTGATGCGACACTCCTTATGGCATTGACACTGCCTTGTAGAACAACAGCTTTTATCAAAATCACTGGATATATATTTTAGTTTACTGTAACTCTAAACGCTCTGTCATTTAGAGAGACATTAAATTTAAAGCAAATTTATGTTCTCATTACAAAATAAGTTACATTTTATATAAACAGTTATTATCTATACTAATATATAAAATCCTTCAGTGACTGACATACTGATTAATCACGATCCTGCTCAAAACACTCAACGTAAGAAGCTCAATTTTGGCATACAGGTTGACTCTAGAGTGTAGAGGTTCGATAAAAAGGGATTTTTCGAAATTCGAGTTCCAAGAGGGTGAAACCACCCCTCAAATATTACAATATTTTTTATTTAAAAAACGGTCAAGTTTCCGAAAAAACGCTTAAACACGTATATTTTATTTTGTTTTTTTACATATTTTAAGATTTTTTAAAAATGTAATCAGGGTGTTTCGAAAAATCTGGTCAAGGATTAATCACGATCCTGCTTAAAGCGCTTGACGTAAAAAGCTGATTTTTGGAAAACAGATTGACTTTAGGGTGTAGAGGTCCGATAAGAAGGGATTTTTCGATTCTAAGGGGGTGAAATCACCCCTCAAATAATAGAATATTTTTTGCTTAAAAACCGGTGAGTTTTTCGGAAAAACTCTTAAACACGTATATTTTATTTTGTTGTTTTACATATTTTAAGATTTTTTAAAAATTTATACAGGGTGTTTCATAAAATATGACCACTGAGTAATCAGGATTGTGCTTAAACTGATTGACATTTAAAGCTGATTTTTGGCAAACGGATTTACTGTGGGGTGTAGAGGTTCGAAAGAGGAGTTTCTCGAATCTCAAATTCCAAGAGGGTGAAAACGCCCCTCAAATATTACATTATTTGTTATTTAAAAAAACGGTTAGTCTTTCGAGAAAACGCTTGGACACGCATAATTTATTTTGTTTTTTTACAGATTTTGAATTTTTTTAAAAAATCATACAGGGTGTTCGAAAAAGTTGGGTAATTGATTAACCACGATTCTGCTTAAACTGCTTGACGTAAAAAGCTTAATTTTGGCAAACGGATTTTTCGAAAGTCAAATTCCAACAAGATGAAACTACCCCTCAAATATTACCAAGTTATATAATAATATCGCCATATTGTTTTTTCTCATGCTGATATAAATGTGAGAAAATTTTATCCAGTTTGTTTGTTAATGGAAATTCTTGCTTTGTTTTATCATCACCATTATAAATAATGATTAATTCGACGCGAACGAAGTCGCGGGAACACGCTAGTCACTTATAAATTCAGACATGCTGTCAATTACACTTAAAAATTTAGATATCATTTTTAAAGAGATACCAACATTTAAAAATATAGTGTTAAGAAGCATATTTCATGCTTACAAATTCTACTTACAAACTCCATAAGAATATAAATGTTGACTATTCTCAACTGAAATGCAGAGGTGTGTATCAAAATCGTGAAAATTGAAATGAAGGAATACTATTTCTAGTGTTGTGTCAAGAATACTATTTCCAGTGTAGATAGTGCTGACTTAGGGCATTTAAATAATGCGTGTAGAAACACTAATGAATACCATTTAAACTAAAAAAGAATAGTAGTAGAATAAGTTAGATTAAGACTACTGCTTATTGGTTATTCCTGATGGACTGTATATTTTGCTAGCTGTACTTATAACATATAAAAAATATAGGTCGGATTTTAAAACTAGAATGTAAACAATGAGAATATTTTTTTTATTATATATAATAAATATATACTATACATACTCACTATTAAGCTTTAAGATAAATGTTACTAAGTTTTATTAATAGGAATGTTTCTACTTGAATAGTGGCGATCAGATTGATGTGTTTTTTAATTTCTTAAAGGTTTTTGGGGTTATTTTTTTAGAAACTTGTATGGAAACTGTACAATTTGGAATGGTGAATTTTTAACAACGATAGAATAAATAAAACTATGGCAAGTAAATTTATGCAGGTTACGTTTAATACTTAACTATTTTATACATATATACATATTTCATCAATACACTGGTGTTTATCAGTTAACCTCTAGCAAATAGGGGCTTGGAGTTTGTACGAAGGTAGTAGTTTCCATTAGCCCTAATGATTGAAAAAAAGAAAAAAATAATATTAGTTATATATTAAAAATTTTTTTTTTAATGAAATCTATATACTAAAAATTATACTAATATAAATACAGGCATTTAGATGTACTTACGATCTGGAAATTGGAAAACCTCCCATAAGACTTGCTCTGTTGGAATTGCATCTGTTAGAGGTAAAGGAGGAGTATTTTGAGCACAATCGAGACATGAATTTGTTATTGTTTATGCTTTCTGCGTAGTAATTGTATGCTCTTCTGTGCGCACATCTTCCAAGTAAGTCCGTGCCACATCCCGGTTGAGATCTACCGCCATTAGGATAATAATCAACGTGTCCCGATTTAACTCCAAATCCTAAACGCCCGTCATTGGTGTGGATGACTTGAACGTAACGGGCATCGGTAGGGTCTAAACGATTATTTATATTTCTTCTAGTAAAAGGTCCTGCAGGATCCAGTCCAATAATGTTTTCTACTAAACCACCAGTTCTAGCTCCAGCATTTCCTAAATTCAAAAGTATATATACTATATCTGCAATAAAGAGAAACTTTAAATATTATTTTACCAGCAACGTGAGCTCCCAGGGAATGTCCAACGATGGATACTTTCTTCAATCTGTGTTGAAGTTCGTTATCCAATCTGATCAAAAAAGTTTCCTTGTAGTTTCCGACTCTTACAACGGCACGTCGAGCTCTAATGTATTTCTGCCTCGCAATTGGATTCCAATCAACTACAATAACATTGATATTGTTGTTTTGCAAAACTGCGTTTTTGATTTGATCATTGACAGCTGATGTGTGATCGTTTTTCCATCCGTGAATGACAACTAGAGTTTCAATGCTTACATTAAATCCTGTAAGTCGGACAATGTTACGTAGCTGACTTTTCTTGATTTGCACACCTAAACATTGCAAAATCTGTTAATTAAAAACAAAATTAATTGACTTTATAACATACCATTGTGATTCGATTGTGAGAAGAAATGGAACGTTATATCTGATTCAGTTGCGGAAAGTACGGAAAGTTCTGAATCAGGTGCGGAAAGATCTTCGACTTCGTAAAATCCGTCATTTGTTTCATAAACTAAATATTTGGCATCGTCGACATATTTAAGTACAGCTTCGCCACTTATGTTAACTAAAAAGTTAAAGTGATTAACTTTTAACTTAAAATTTTAGTAATAATGATCAATACAAGGTAATCCAATGTACCAAAGAAAAGTCTATATCAGGTTTTCTGTTATAAAATGATTAGCTTTATCATTGATCTCTGTGTGTTTTATAAAAAATGTCAAAATTGATTTGGAGGAAAACTGATAGAGATTTTTATGGGTAAAGTAGAAACATAGGCAGAAAAAAAGCAACTTACATACAGTTCCCGAGCAAGATGTAGCAACGGTAAGTAGGAGCAGAAATGCCTTCATTTTGAGGTTGATTGAGGTAAACTGATTGCAGATGAATACAAAATTCAGTTATTTATATGTAAATTCATTGCTTTATTTGTATATAGTGCCTTGATAAGATTAACTACGATTTGTATGTAATATTTTATATGTAACTTATTTATTTACTTTGTATTTGTGCATTTTTTAAATCAATTAATTACTCACGTTCTAATAGAAATTAATTTCATGCTTATAATTTCTGTGAATGTGTTTATTGTATTGAATTAGTGTGAATTGTGTGAATAGTGTGAATAATTTCAGCTGTCGAAATCTATCTACTATTATAGACTTACCTCTACAAAAGTTCAAAATTAGTACTGAGTCAGCAAGGGAATATTATCAAGTATTTATAGAGGTCTTTTGTGGTAATAATATACGTAGTGCTCTGTACAAGACAGTAACAAGAAAACTAACAAAGAAGTACTTGACTTTTCTATTGTGCGTATTAGATATTTTTAAAAGGTTTATATCATTATGACTAACATAGCAATCAAAATAAAGTGATAAAAAACAAAAGAACCTATTCAAAAGACGTAAAACAACTTGTCAGATGTTTCTATTAAACAGATAATCATAACAAAACAAAAATTCAAATTGAAAAAATAGCCCAACAATTTCAATGCGTTTTTTTGTAGATACAATAATATATACAGAATACACAAACACCTTTGAAGGCTTATGTACCTTGGCTTTGTAAGAAAATTAAATTTTTGGACCTATGTTTTTGAGCTATTTTTGATGATAGTGAAAATGTCCCCTACACCCATTACTATTCCCGTAAAACTACAACGGCCTATATTTTCTTGTTCTACGCCTTTTAACTAGAAAATAGTAGCAGTTTTCACAAAATCGCTGACATGAGGGGAGTCGCCAATTTTCATGACTATATGTATGGAAAAAAGTCGAAAAATGCCCATTTTTGGCTATTATATACACATTTTCAAATGCCTTCGAAGTCATGCCTAAACGTAGTGATAAAATTATGAAAATTTCAGCATTTTTAGGAAATTTTATGTAGATTTATATCTTCGTTTTATGAAAAAAAATATTTGGACCCATGTTTTTGAGCTCATTTTGATGATGGTGAAAATGTTCCTTATTTTCTATTACTGTTTTCGTAAGACTACAATGGCTTATATTTTCTTATCTTACGCCTTTCAATTAGTAAATAACAGCAGTTTTAGCAAAATCGCTGTGAAAGAAGAAGAAAATGAATTCCTAGTAAAAGCAACATAAAACACTAATTCATACAACACTTTTGTTTTAACACTTGACTTGCATTAGCAACATAACTTTTTTTTTTCTTTTTTCTCCAATATTATCTCCAATTTCGTACATTTTCTATAACACCTCTCTCCGCCTGGCATTTTTTTACATAAATTTTAATCTCATGGAATTAACTTCTAGAACGTCAGTAAATAACCGATATAAAAAATCTGTAAAAACAAAGTAAATAAATAAGTTACATATATTATAAAATAGTGTATTCAATCGTAGTTAATCTTATCGGCGCACTATATACAAATAAAGCAATAAATTAACCCATAAATTGCTGAATTTTGTATTCATGGAAAAAAGGCAAAAAATGTCCATTTTTGGCTTTTTTACACATATTTAAAGGATTAATAAACATACCAATTGTAGACATATAAAAATGAAAATTTTAGCATTTACAGGAAATTTTATGTAGATTTAAAATATGTATATCTTTGAAGGCTTAGATGCCTCAGTTTATGGTGATAAAATAAATTACATGGACCATCATTGGTAGACCACCATTTTTTGCAGATCTCCAGAGAACTTAGAAATATAGTAATCATCGTACTAAAATTATGAAAATTTCAGTATTTGTAGGAAATTTTGTGTATATTCACATTATTATTATACTATTTGAAGGGGTCGATGCGACGGTTTGCTGAGAAAATAAATTAATTTTATCCATGTTTTTGAGTTACTTTTGATGATGGTGAAAACGTCTTTTACATCCATTAGTGTTGTCGTAAGACTACAGTGGCCTATATTTTCTTATTCTACGCCTTTTAATTAGTAAGTAACAGCAAGATTTTAACGAAATCGGTGACATGACGAAAATCGCCAATTTCCATGACTATGTCTATGGAAAATGTCAAAAAATGCCAAACATTTTTTAGCTTATTTTGTACATAAGGCCTTGGTAAAATTGAATATGAAACATAGTAAAATTGGTCATAAAGTTATGAAAATTTCTGCATTTATAGGAAATTTGAAACTTTATATAGGTACCTTCACTTTGTGAGAAAATTATAATAATTTTTTGGACCCTTGTTTTTAAATGAACCATGTTTTTGAGTTACTTTTGATATGAAAACGTCCCCTACATTCACTATTGTTGTCGTAACACTTCAATGGCCTCTATTTACATATTCTACATCTTTTTGTTAGTAAATAACAGCAGTTTCAATAAAATCGGTGACATGATGAAAATCGCCAATTTTCATGACCTTTTTGCGTATCTTTAAAGGCCTTAGAAACATAGTAAATACAGTCATAAAATTATGAAAATTTGATACTTGAATAATATGATACTGAGTTTGACATTGATACATATAACACCGTAATTATCAAAAATAAGTAAAAGTGTCTTTTTTATCAAACAACATATATTTATTCCAAGAAATATTTATTTATCAAATATAAACACTATACAGGTAGATTATGCATATTTATATTTATATCTCGTTTATACAATAGATTATACGAAGCCAATCACTTGATTTCATCGTTTAGCCTCTAGCATATGGGGAATTGTTGTTGGTGACGAGGAAGTAGTCTCCAGTAGTCCTATTGTTTAGAAAAAAAAATATTAATAAACAGATAGTTGAAGGTATATATTATTGCTTTTTATACTGCGAAATTTTAAAAAAGTATGTATTCATTATTGAGTATGTATTCATTATTGAGTATGAATAAATATAACTCCTGAAACTGCTGAACTTAATGTACTAGAGCATGATCCTTCATAGAGTCGGTGCGGCTATTCAAATTGAATACTATCCAAATTGAATAATGCAAATAAATATTCAAAATTATTTTAGTGTCTTGAGAGAATCATTGTCTCATCATCATATTCAAAGAAAATATATAAATTCACTTACGGTTTATCAATTGGGAAACTTCCTAAGAAACTGGCTCTGTTGGAACTGCATCTATTAGCAGTGAAGTCGGAGTAACTTGAGCACAATCTAGAGATGAAGTTATTGTTGTTTAAACTTTCTGCGTAAAATTCGTAGGCTCTGCTATGGGCGCAACTTCCAGCTAAGTCAATTCCACATCCTGGCTGCGATCTTCCACCATTAGGGTAGTAATCAGCATGTCCCATTTTAATTCCAAATCCTAAACGTCCGTCATTGGTGTGGATGACTTGAACGAAACGGGCATCGGTGGGGTCCAAACGATTGTTTATGTTGCTTTCAGTAAAGTATGGTCCTGCGGGGTCCAATCCAATGATGTTTTCTATTAATCCTCCGGTTCTGGCTCCAGTATTTCCTAAAAACCAACGATATATAACTGAATTAATAAAGTAAGCTTAAAATTATTTTACCAGAAATGTGGGCTCCCAAGGAGTGCCCAACGATCGACACTCTTTGCAGTCTGTGTCCAAGTTCGTTATCCAGTCTGAGCAAAAAGTCTCCAATATAGTTTCCTACTGCGAGAACAGAGCCTTGAGCTATACTGTATGAACGTGCTGCAATTCGACTCCAGTCAACTACAATGACATTGATGTTGTGGCCCTGCAAGGCTGCATTTTTTATATGATCATTGACGGCGGATGTGTGATCGTTTTGCCATCCGTGGATGACCACTAAGGTTTCTCTGTTGACATTGAAACCAGTAAGGCGAACAATATCTCTGAGCTGACTCTCCTTGATTTGTACACCTACATATATTTTAATAGGATCAAAAATAAATAAACCTAGTTTTAGTTTTTTTGTAACAAACCATTTCTATTCGATTGGGTGAAGAAGTAAAAAGTTACATCATCTTCGGTAGCGGTAACTTGTGGAACAGGACCAGTAAGTTCTTCAACTTCAAAAAGGCCGTCTTCAGTCTCATGAACTATATATCTGGGATCGTTGACATATTTAATTACAGCTTCACTACTTAGTTTAACTAAAAAACAAGATATTCTAGTAGAATACTACAAAAATATACTACAGATAGATTATAGGTTGTTTGTTAAGAATGGTTACATTAAAAATTACAGTAGGTATTATTAAAAATATCAATAGAGCTTGATCCACTAGTTTGAGATAGTATCAGTCTTTGAAAGAACAAAAAAATTAGTCTAAAAATGGTTATATTTTAAGAACTGTACTTTAATAATATTTTTAGAATGACGTTCATTCTAAATTGGATAAAGAAAATACACTCACTAGCACCAAAAACGGGCACCTTAAAATTTTGATGTATTTTAAAGTTTTATATATTGTGTTCTAGTGGACAGATTTTCAAAATTTTTAAGCAATTACAGCTAAATTATTTGACTTTTTAGTACCTTTTTCTAAATTAAAAATAAAAGTTGCAATCTGTCAATTTTATATAGTTCTTTTGGTGAAAGTAAGGAAAATTTTTTTATCATTTATATTAAGATTTTTTCTCGATAGTTTGTTTTTTTATGCATCTCAATAGCCTCAATTTTATTGTAGATTTTCGCTTTTGAATAAAACAGTAAATATTTACAGCAATTTTAGTATTGGAAGCATACCTTTACTTATGTATCCTCATCAACTGATAGATGGTTTCAAGTTCAGGAGTATCGGCTAATAATCTGATTTTTCAAAGAGAGTATTATTACATAAATCATAAACACTATTTCATAGGTATGTTGACTACCATGGTTTTAACGTAAAAATTACGAAAAAATGTTTGTGTCTTCTTCAAAATCGAATATCGCTATTGAGATGAACCAAAACAAGCTATCGAAAAAAGATGCATCTAGATGATAAATGCTTTTTAAATTTCTTGCTTGTTAAACATATTCCACATGGTGTTTGAAACTTTCAAATGAGTGTATATTCGTTTTTTAGATAATTTGAAAGGAAAATAGGGAGTATCTAGAGTTTTTGTGTGTAGTGCTAGACTCTGTGTAGAGAAAAAATAGCAACTTACCTGGGGTTGCCGAGCAATATGCAAGAACGCCTACTAAAAGTAGCACTGCCTTCATTTTGACAATTGCGACACCACTTGCAAATGAATACAAATCTAGCTGTCGTTACTTATTTATATCTAATTTTATTCCTTAATTTATAAATGGTCCATTGATAAGATTAACTAGGATTTCTATAAAAAAATATATAATTCTGTCTTTGTCTATGCACTAAAAAAATGAATTTTTGAGATCTTTTTAAATCAGATGTTTAGTGTGGATATTAAAAAGTCATTCGGTTCTTAAAGTATTTGTCAATAGATAATGTCAGCGGAGGTATTTTTTAAAACTTTGATAGATTACCTAATTACAGATTATTTCTTTAACATAAATATATTATATAGCACATTTATCATCATCATCATTTTCAGCTTATTCAACCATTTCCTTCACATATTTTAATACTCTCTTTGTAGTTGGGCCCACTGTCGTCTATTTTTGGCTATGCGGGCGCAGGTAGTTATCCCTACTAATTTCTGAATATCATAGTCCCATCTCAGGTTTCGTCTTCTTCTAGATCATTTAATTCCTCGTGGGTACCATTGTTGTCATTGTGGTCCATTTGTTGTCAGTCTTTCTTGCTAGGTGTCCTGCCCATCGCTTCTTCAGTAATTTGATTCTATTACCTGGGTTTTTTGTCGTATCCACTCTATTTTTTTTCGGTCTTCCTTGGTTATTCCCAGCATATTTCGTTCAATTGAGCGTTGTGCGTTTTAAGTGCCAAGTTTTGTATGCATAGGTCATGACTGGTAGTACACATTGGTCGTCATAGTACACGTTCATTCTAAAACTAAGAATATTGGGCGTCAGTCAAGAAGGAAAAAAATCTCAGTGGTAGTTAAAAATAAATGACTATATTGAATCAGGATAATTCCTACTTATTGTAATTAACATTGTAAATTTTTTGTTAGGTTATTGTAGAAATATTTGTCAGATAAAAATTATGTTACAATGATGATTATACTAAGTGAAAAAAAGTGTTAAAGAAAAATATAATCTGATTAAAGCTAATGAAAATTAAAAGAGGGTAGTATTACTTTACTTAAAAAACATTAAATTCTATTTTGATTGAAAAACAAATTGACATAATAATCAAGTGTAAATAAGACATTTAAGCAAATAAAATATTATTAGTTTAGGATTTTTTAAGAAATTATTAATTTTTTTAAGTCATTATTCAGGTGAAAAAAAAATTCGTGTGCCACATTAGATAAAATATATAAAAAATCTATTTTTCTTACGATTATTTGTATTTCTTTAAAAAATTCAATGTTTTACCAAAGAACACTTGAAGTTTACGAAAAATAGGTTATTTTATGTTTTTGAGCCATAATTTCGTGATAAAATATAAAAAATTGTGGAAGTTATCATATACGATTTGAAGTTGAATTTTAACCTTCAATAACTTTCAAACGAGTCCATTAACTGAAAAATTATATCAGATATTTTTTGAAGATCGTTCAATTTCCTACAAGAATATGTATTGATCTTCACAATACGCTGATTTGTTAGAACGCAATAAATTTCCAAAAAATTGTTTCCCTGTGTTATTTAAATTGAAAATAGAAAATCGCGATGAGACACCTCTTAATATTTATATTAAGCGCTGAAACTTTACCATAATTTTGTTTTTCATCATCGTGAACGATATTTTCACGGCGAGTAAAAAGAGAAAAATATTTTTTTTTCGGTGCACCCTAAATTGCATAGTAAAAAACATAGAAGCGTATCACAAAATCAAGACGTGATACAAATTTTTAAAAACAGTGTTTACTTGCTATAACTAATAAAAATCTACCGATATCGTATCACATAGTATTATTATTTAAAATCAGTATTAGCCAAATGCAAAAAATTAAGTTTTTTAATAACAAAAAACAAAGAATTTAAAGCACTTGGGTACGTCAGTGATTAAATGGACGTTTCTATTGAAGGCAGGTACTTAAGATTGTTTTCAAAATATCTCATCACCTATTTTTTATGATATCAATTTGTTTTTATTCTTTATACCTTCATGCATGGGTGGGATATAGAGGGGGTCCGTAGCTTACTTCCACATTCATTAGACACAATAAAATCTTTCAATTAAAAATACAACATGATCAAGAAACTTTATGATCTGGAGTATTTGTTTGGCATTATGACAGAAAATCAATTCTTTAGGACAATTTTATCCAAATTTTGACAGAAGTCTTAGTTGCTTTTTTTATAAATACTCCACCCTTTTTAGAATTCTTTTTATTTCAGAGAATTTTTTAATGAAGCTGACTATAAATTTATTCCCGGGTTTAAAACATATCCAAAAACATTTTAGTAAACAATAATTAAATAAATTCATTTTATTTTTAACGATTTATACAATATATAAATTATTATGCTTTTATACGTACTGCTACCTACACAATGCTATTATTATTATATTCAAACACAATAGCAAATATAATCTCTATTGTCTCCGTTTTCTTCTATTTGTTCCGGTAATATTTTATTTTTCTTTATAGGATACTCACACGTGTTTTGTATTATATTTGTTTTTTTTTTTCTAAGGATAACTACATGATTAATTAAAATTTTCGTGTGCTTTTTTTATATTTTTTTGCAATAGGGGATTAGGCCAATCCTCGTATTTAATTCATCATTGTCATCAAAATACAATGGCCTGATCTGCTACGTGTTTTTAACTGAGTAAACACTTGTTAAAGATAAATTTAATAACTATTTGATACCTACATATAGTTTGCCAATTTAAAATTTTATTTTGCTAGCTAATATAATTAGAAATATTGTAATTATCTTATTTTTTAAGTATATACAAAATTAAATTTTATTGAAATGATGCATTTTGATTGAATCTGAAGAAATGCTAATTTTAAGAAATATGTCATTGTAGAGAGGAAATCGGTTCTAATCGTTCAAATAAAAATATGATGTTAAATTGTGATTTTATCTACCAAATATATTGAACAAGACATTTTTCTAAGTGTGTTCATAAAAGACATATCTATATTTACAAATTAAATAATTCATTCCATAAGTGATATATCACCTGATGCCACTTCTTATTACATAGATAAAAACAATTTTTGTTTTCTATACACTTTATTTTTACGCATAAGAATTTTGAACAGAAACAATCTGCCCGTCTTGAAGAGATACACATGGAAACTTTAACAGAGTTATAGTAGAACTTAAACTCAGTTTGGTACAAACTTCCCTTTTCTTCAAATCGATGTGATTTACTGAAAAACACACAGGTGTTGATGGAACGCATATTGGAGCAGAACTGGGATCTGAAAAACACCAAAAAAAGTAAATTTATCAAATATATGAGTTATTTTAAAGAAATATTAAACATAGAAAAATGCGGTTATTTTATTTAAGTTAGTTTAAATTAACAAATGGTGGTAAAATCCTGGCGAAAGACAATTTAAAGCTAGTTTGGGTTTATTATTTAACAATTACAAGAGCAAGAACTTCACCCTAATTTTATTTCTGTGTAACAATAAACTTTCAGCTGGAAAGTTCATGAATATTAAGATAATTTAGAATGACCCTATTCCTGGCACTATTTCGTGCGAAATTTTCATATTAATATGCAGAGCAGATAAAAATAGAAGTAACATAATTAATTAAATTACGTTTTAATAAATCATTTTTAAGACACATCTAAATTTCGTTACTTTATGATTTATTTTATTTCTGTAAAACTTAATATTAATGGACACAAAAAAATGAATAAGTATTTTTTCTGAGAAAGTGTTTTTTCTTATACAATATACAAACATTTATTTAATTTATACTGCGATTTTAAATATATTTTAAATATACTATACTCTGTAAAACCGTCTCAGATACTGGCATTCTCAAACCCTGAAACTGTATAACGAGTTATAGCTGATAGTTACAGCGATCAACCCCCTCCTATACATTCTACATCCGTTATTATAAATGCTCATTTTAAAAGGGTGTCAGCTAAAACAGGTTTTATTGTACTGTATAAGTTATATAGAATAAACTAGCGTGTACCAGCGACTTCGTTCGCGTCGAATTAACCATTTGTAATGGCGATGATAAAGCAAGCAAGAATTTCCATTAACATACAAACTGGATAAAATTTTCTCACATTTATGTCAGCATGAGAAAAAACAATGTGGCGATATTATTATATAACTTGGTAATATTTGAGGGGTAGTTTCATCTCGTTGGAATTTGACTTTCGAAAAATCCGTTTGCCAAAAATAAACTTTTTACGTCAAGCGGTTTAAGCAGAATCGTGGTTAAGAAATTACCCAACTTTTTGGAACACCCTGTATGATTTTTTAAAAAATTTCAAAATATGTAAAAAAACCAAATAAATTATGCTTGTCCAAGCGTTTTCCCGAAAGACTAACCGTTTTTTAAATAACAAATATTGTAATATTTGAGGGGCGTTTTCACCCTCTTGAAGTTTGAGATTCGAAAAACCCCTCCTTATCGAACCTCTACACCCCACAGTCAATCTGTTTGCCAAAAATCAGTTTTAAACGTCAAGCAGTTTAAGCAGAATCGTGATTACTCAATGGTAATATTTTATAAAACACCCTGTATAAATTTATAAAAAATCTTAAAATTTGTAAAACAACAAAATAAAATATACGTGTTTATATAAGTTTTTCCGAAAAACTGACCGGTTTTTAAATAAAAAATATTCTAATATTTGAGAGGTGGTTTCACCCCCTTAGAATTCGAGTTTCGAAAATTCTTATCGAACCTCTACACCCAAAAATCAGCTTTTTACGTCAAGCGGTTTAAGTAGGATCGTGATTAATCAATGACCAGATTTTTCGAAACACCCTGTATACATATTTTAAAAATCTTAAAATATGTAAATAAACAAAATAAAATATACGTGTTTAAGCGTTTTTTCGGAAACTTGACCGTTTATTAAATAAAAAATATTGTAATATTTGATTGGTGGTTTCACCCTCTTGGAACTGGAATTTCGAAAAATTCCTTCTTATCGAACCTCTACACCCTAGAATCAACCTGTATGCCAAAATTGAGCTTCTTACGTTGAGTGGTTTGAGCAGGATCGTTATTAATCA